ACTTTTCAACCCTTTATAATCTGGCTTTAGACTCTTATCTCCTCAATGTTTCTTGTGTTGCCATGACCAAAGATTTCACAACCTATTGGTCAATATACTTGTAATGAGTTTCTCTATAATAGGTTAAGCTGATTTTCAGATATAAGACTTAATCTGTTACCAGGACTACACTTAAAGCCTTTCCAGTTTGGTAAAATATCCTTGAACTTACACATTCATGGTATGATAAGTTATCAGAAGTCCATAGAACTTTTATATAAGTATTGACAAATGATTATCTGGGAAGCAGAGGCTGGTAAAGATAACCTGGTTGCTTTTCTTTCATTAAAGAAACCTCAGTCATTGAGGATATGGGTGCAGTCCAGTTTGAGAACAAGGACTAAATTGGACTCATTGATCCATTGAGTTAGCAACTGTTTATTAGGTGACTTCTATGACAACTAGATGGTTCAGTGGATAGGCTAGATGTGAAGTCAAGAAGACCTAAGTTCAAATCTAGCCTCAGACACTTACCAGTTGTAAAACCCTGGACAAGTCACTTAACCTCTGTCTGCTCCATCTATAAAATGGAGATAATAATAGTAAATATCTCCCAGGGTTGTAGTAAGGATAAAATGAGATAACATTTGGAAAGTGCTTTACAAACCTTAAAGCACATGTGTGTTCAGTTGTTTCAGCTATGATCCCCAACTCTTCATGACCCCATTTGGGGTTTTCTTGGCAAAGATACTAGAGTAGTATGCCATTTACATCTCCAGATCATTTTACAGATGAGGAAACTGAGGCAAACAGGATTAAGTGACTTGTCCAGGATCTAGACAGCTAGTAAGTGTCTGAGGTCAGATTTGAACTCAGGAAGATTGAGTCTTCCTGACTTCAGGCCCGGCACTCTCTCTATCCACTGTGTCACCTAGCTGCTCTAAAGTACTATATAAATGCTAGCTATTAATACTAAGTATTATTATTATTGGCAAAGGGGCTAGACCCTGCAGGAAAATACAAAAATAATTCAGATACATTCCTTACTATCACATAGTTTACAAACTTGTCTGGTGGGGAGAATAATAATCTAGCTAGCGTCTTAAAATTCCTCCTGTGGAAATAGTTTAGTTTCATTCAGCATACCCAAAACGGCAATTGCAATCACCTGGGGAAAACCCATTCAAAACATACTTCTTCCTTTCAAGGAATTCCATTGTGTTTGCTATTAAATATTTGTTGAGTACCTAGAACAGTGGATTAATAAAAATAATTATCTATATTTACATACATAATACTTGGGGACACAGTCAGCTCATAAAGAGGGTTCTTTAGGGATGGCTACCACAATTTCAAGATAATTCGTGGGACTTTATTCACTCAAAATCACAGCTCATGAACCCCCACCATTGTGTTTGCCTTTAATAGTCCATCAGGGACACACATTCCAAGCGAAGACATTTAATGAAATGGCATAAGTAGAACAAAAACATTTCCTTCATACAACATTACATTTTCTCCAAAAAAGTCTTAGTGCAGTTTTACATACGCTGTTAGGAAGAGTGGATACAGCAGTGTGTAATTAGTATGCACTTCCAATAGCAGTTTTACATACATTCCAGTAAAAAAGGTGACTACACCTAGGGAAAACTCAGGGAGAGGCACTTGTGTAGCCACACTCATAAAACAGGTAGGTACACCTGTGGGGAACATATACTCATGTCCCCGATGAGGCATGGTTGTTGGTATCTTCTAATGAAGTCAACATACTGCACACCCTGGGCTTGGTCCCTACCGATTATTGTCAGTTGCTGCTTTGTTGGACCCTGCTTGACTGGTCATATGGTCTTTGCCAGACTCTCCTTTGGACCCTGCTCTGCTGGACACATAGTCTTTGTCAGACACTGCCAGGCACAGCACTGGAGATATGGCTTTGGAGCCCCTCTCTGTTTCCAATTGTTGCCTTTAGTTGAAGTCCTTGGCTATCTCTTCCTCATAAGAAAAAAGGGCTTTGAAATGCTCTGAAAGGCAGAGAGTTTTTAAAATAGCTTTTTTAGGAAGGTAGTCCTCTTCAGCCATAGGAACCACAAGAGTTAGGGAGTAGGTTGGGGAGAACATCTCCAGGTGGATTTTCAGCTCCAGATACCAAACTATTTTGAACAATGTTTCTCAAACATTTGGTCTCAGGACCACTTTATAGTTTTAAAAATTATTGAGGAACCTAAAGAGCTTTTGTTTATGTGGGTTATTGATAGTTACATTATTTGAAATTAAAACTGGTAAATTTTTTAAAGTTATATATTAATTCATTTAAATGAACAATTAGAAAACCATTACATGTACATTATGCGTCATTACATTTTTTAAATGAAAAATAACTATTTTCAAAACAGAAATACTTAGAAGAATGGCATCGTTTTACATTTTTTTTACAAAATGTATTTAATATCTACCTTAATAAAGACACAGCTGGATTCTCATATCTGCTTCTGCATTCACTTTATTGTGATATGTTATTTTGGTTGAAGTATATAAAAAAAAATCTGGCCCCACACATATATGTACTTTGAAAATTGCTGTAGTTGCATTTTAATAGATATAAAATCTTTTATACATTAGTTTTATACACATATTTTATATATGTAGTTGTATTTACATATATGCATAAATATGTAGTTGTATTTCAGTAGGCAAATAACATCTTACTATTATTATGAAAATTTTTTGACCTTACAGACACCCTGAACTCTAATCCAAGACTCTTAGGCCACACTTTGAGAATTTCACAGAGCCACTCCTAGCTATCCGAGCTAAGTAACTAGAGCCCTCAGACTCAAGTCTGTTTTCTTTCTTCAACTTGCTGGGTCCAGAGCTTAGGTTTCTCTGTTGGAGAACTCACTCTAACTTTTCGTAAGCATTCCCTACTATGCTTCTGTTCATTATACATGTAAAGTAAGTGTGCGTGTGTATATGTGTGTGTATGAACACACACGTATACTCAATGACACATATGTATATATGTACATAAACATGTGCGTGCGCACACACACATACACCCAACATCAACTCAACAACGTGTGGTGTGGAGTTTCTTCTTTTCTCAATTCTGTAGCTGAATAGGTGGGAGTGGGGCAGGAAAGACACAGAGACGGAGTAAGAGGGAAAGGCCTTTTTCTTCTCTACCAGCCCAGTCATATGATTGAAGACATGGCCATTTAAGCTTGAAAGGTTTTGAGCTCAATCCACAAACATATATTAAACACTCACTCTATTCCAGGCACTCTACACATTGCTAGGAATACAAAGGCAGAAACTGGTGGAGATAGATGCCTGGTGCCTCTGTGAGGGGCAGGTAGTTTGAAAGAGTGAGAGAAGGGTCAGTGTCTCAGTCTCTTGGAGTCTCTTTAGACACTTTTCAGTTTATTTTGGCTCTGCAGTTGCTTCAGGCTCTTCTGGCTTTCAGGAAGATGCTAACCCCATTTCAAGTGGCTGAAGGAAAGACTCTGAGAATAAGCCCACATGACAGGAACTGGCAGTCTCCATAATATCCCCAGGCCCAGCTTGCTCCACTAGAGACACTTCAGGTAACTTCCGTTTGAGTGAGATCTGGAACTCTCTCTTGGTTGAGCTGAGTTACCTTGTTCCCAATGGGAGAACCCCTTCATTCTGTATTGTCTGGTACATATTCTCCTATGTATATTTTCTCTTATTTCTGTTTTGCTATCAACTTGGATAAATGGTTTTCTTTGCTAAATTATGTATTCATTGTGAAACTGGTTTTTGGTGTAAAGAGAGTCAAGCCTTGTATATCAAGCTGGGATCCTGCTCCTCCCACCCCCCATTAAGAAACAGAGATCAGAAATTTAGCTTCATCCTGAAAACCACCCTAGACTAATATTTAAGGGAACAGACAGATACAATTCTAGCCTGGTAACCCCTTTCCCTGAGGCCAAGCTTCTGGCCTCAATCTCCTGCTTCCCATGTTGGCAGGAATTAAAGTTTCTGTTGGACAAGCTAGAGGAAGAAGAGGCTAAAGATGTCTATGCTGTTTCCCTTCAGAGCCACACAGTGATAGCTCCACACTACATGTTGGGGACTCACCCAGGGTAACACAATTCATGTCAGAAGCAAGATCTAAACCTCTAATCATCCTGATTCTTAAGTCACTTTCAAACCATTAAGCCACACTACCCCTGAGTTAGTGTCTTATCCCCCTACTAGATTGCAATCAATCAAGGTGCTCTTATTAGGCATTTATTAGCTACCAATCAGGAGAAAGAGGCATACTGGATAGAGCACCAGAGCCAGAAGACTTGAGTTCAAATCCAGCTTCCCACACTTACTAGGTGTGTGACCCTGGGCAAGTCACTTAACCCCGTTTGACTTATTTCCTCATTTGTAAAATGAGCTGGAGAAGGAAATGTAAAACCATTTCTGTATCTCTGCCAAGAAACCCCCAAATGAGGTTAGGAACAGTCTGACACGACTGAAAGGACTGAACAATGGCAGGTGTCAATCACTGTGTGGGGCGCTGGGACTACAAAGACAAAAGAAAGGATACCTATTGTCAAGGAGCATACCTTCTATTGGGGAGACTACTTACATGCATGTAATGTACAAGCGTGTGCAGAATAAACATCAAGATAATACAAAGGGCACTAGCAATTGGGAGGTTGAGGAAAGGCTTCATGGAGAAGGCTGTGCCTGAGCTGCGACGTGAAGGAAGATATTCAAGTAATCTATTCTCTTATAAGTCCCTAGAGACGTCACCCAAACTTGGCCTCTGCCCCACGCGCGGCGCCCAAGAAAGGTGGGAGGGCGGTACTCTAGACTAGAGCAGCATCTCATTCAGAGTGAAGCGCTCTCTTCTGCGCCTGCGCCCAAACTCCTGGGACCTCCCCGAGACTGAGAATGGAATGGTCCCAGCCCCGGTGCGTTCCCGCGCTTCTGTCCCGCCATTGGCTGGCGTTTTGAAACCTCCAAGTAACGTTGGCGCCCCTGGATGACGTAGAAACGGCTTTTTGGAGACGGGGTTGGGGCTTTGGTGGAATCTGCGGCGCTGTGCGGCTCCTTTTGGCTCTGCCTGGGGCCCAGCTGGGCCGTGGAGCAGACGAAGATCCCGGCCTTGAGCCGGTTTCCTCCATGTGAGTGACTGACCCGTCGCCGGAACGTCCGGCGCGGGCCCCGAGCTGGGCGTGAGGCGCGATCGGGTCTGCGCAGCACGAGGCGGGTCGCCAGCAGACGGAGCGTTCCGCTCGCGTCTCCAGAGGCCCCGATTGCTATTAAGGTAACATACGAGTTCCACAGTCTGGCATTGAAGACCCTGCACAGTCTGGTTCCTGACTCCTTTTTCACCTCCCCTTCCCGCCAAAGTTACCTTGTTTAAAGTTTCTTTAAGAAAAATTTCATGAAGTGGGTTCTTGAAGCTTGGGTAGAATGCAGCTAGAATAGTGGGGAAGGAATTCTAGGCAAGGAGTAGGGAGCACATGCCTTTGTGTGACTGGAGGTAGATTGGGAATAAAAGACTGTCTCTAAAGGATGATAACATTAAGGCAAAGATGTGGTAATGTGAACATTTCCACAGCGCATTCTGCATTTCTGCTGAACTGAACTGCTAGCTTTTTCCAGAATTTGACTTAGTACATCCTGCCACCGAGCGTGTGCGTAGGCTGTCCCCCATGACATCTCCACCTTTTAGAATCTTCAAGACTTTGCTCTCGTGCCACCTCCTTCGTGTATAGGCTCTTCTGGTATTTATGTCCATCTCCACTTTTTTTTCCTCCTAAAAATTTCCTAGAGTACTTTGCGTAGATCTTTCTCCCTCCCCCCCATCACCATTGTTACAAAGGAGGAATAAATTTGTTCTTTAAAGGGTGGTGGAACAAGCACGTGCTGAAAAAAATCTTGATTTTACGTGATTATATCTTAATACTTGTGTTGTCTCGAGGCAGGTTATTTAATCTCCCCGAGTCTCGGTTTCTTCATCTTTGAGACTACCTAACTAGATTGTTGTGGGAGTCTGCATACTTGGATTTTAGTGCTAGCTAGCTTTCTCCTTAAAAGTAGTCTTGGGCTGCTCCCTCTTTCTTCACTAGATCTCTGTTCCTCATTTGTCAAACAGGGGTTCTAAAAAGACCTGTAAGATCCTGCACAGCTCTGCTCTCTGTGATTTTATGAAATGATAATATGTCTGAAACTGCTTTGAAAATTATCTGTACAAATATTAGATGGTATAATTATTAAGATAACTATAAATTTCAATCACTTCACAAACTTTAAATACCTACTATGCTCAAAGCAAGATTCTAAGAGTTGAAAGGGGATATAAAATGAAGACAGGGCACAATTCATACCTTTATACAATTTAGTTATATTTTCCCAGGAGAATAAAACACCCAGTAAACCTAAAACACCTTTTGTCTGTTATTTTCTATGATGAAGCAGACATACAGGGGTGAGGAACAAGTGGCCCTCTAGGTCCTCAAGTGTGGCCCTTTGACTGAATCCAAACTTCACAGAACAAATCCCCTTAATAAAAGGATATGTTCTGTGAAACTTGGACTCAGTCAAAAGGCCTCACTTGAGGCCCTGGAAGGCCTTGAAGCTGCAGGTTCCCCATCTCTGATAGACAATGTACTCTAGCAAACAGTTTTAGAAAATATTTTCATGTAGCTTTACATTAGTTATAGTTATATTTGAACATGAGTGAATTTTCACAGCACTTAAAATGAAATAATAAATTTATATGTCCAGTCTAAGCTAACTTCTTCCCTTGTACACTTCTCTGATTTTTCACTGCATTCTGTGGATAGAAAGCCTTATCTCTGAAGCATGTGCAGTCGGTCAGCTTCTGAGTTACATAATTTGCTGTGTTGGCTTCCATTCAACCAGTTTCAAATACGTAGAATTCTGCTATAGTCTATCCTAATTCTCTCCTTCTTTGTTTTGTTTTGTTTTTGTTTTTTGGCTTAGCAGTGGGGTTAAGTGACTTGCCCAGGGTCACACAGCTAGTAAGTGTCAAGCATCTGAGGTTGGATTTGAACTCAGGTCCTCCAGACTCCAGGGCTGGTGCTCCATTCACTACACCACCTAGCTGCCCTTTTCTCTCCATCTTTTCCACAAGATGAATGCAAAATATTTTTTGAGAAACTTTCCTAAAATCTAGGTAAAGTATGTGTACAGCATTTTCATGTTCTTCTGGTTTAGTAATCATATCCAAAAAATGAAATAAGGTTAACCTGTTGTAACTCATCTAAAAAAAAAAGATTTGGGAATTGATTAGATATGTAGGATGAATGAGAGTGAGGCATCAAGAATGATTTGACTCTTCACTCTCAGCCCTGGGTTACTAGAAGGATGATGGTACCCTTGACAATAATAGGGAAGTTCAGAAGAAGAGTGGCTTTGAGGGAAAAGAGAACAAGTTCTGTCTCAAATGTGTTGAGTGTGAGATGTCTATGAGATATTGAGTCCAAAATGTTCAGTAGAGAGCTGGTATTAGACTGGAACTTTGGAGAGAAATGAGATCAGAATATAACAACTCTGGGAGTCATCTGTATAGTACTGGTAATTAAATCCTTGGGAACAGCTGAGGCCACCAGTTGAAAGACTGTAGAAGGGGAAGAAGAGTGCCCAGCACAACCTTTGGGTACACTAATAGTTAGTGGGTATGTCATGGGTGAAGGTCCAGCATAGGAAGTGGAGAAAGAACATTTAGATAAGTGGAAATGCTACAGAGAAGTCAAGAAGTTTGAGAACTGGAAAAAGGCTATCAGATTTTGCAGTTAAGGCATTGTTTGTTGGTAACTTAGGAGAGAACAGTTTCATTTGAATAGCACAACCTTTTATCTCATAGAGGTTAAATAAATTTATTTCCTTTAAAAAGAGTGCCTCATACTGAGAAATTTGGAGAAGTACTCTGCTATGGTGGGAAGCCAAGAAGAGACTATAGCATTGCCTCACTAACAGGTTTTTAACACTTTTTAACTGCTTTCTAAACACTAAATAACTGCTGATAAAAGTGTACAATTAGGTTTTTCATTCTTATTCTATATTGTTGGGTTGCTCTACAAAAAGATTGTACCAATTAAAGCTTCTGCCTGGAGTGTAATAGAGTGCCTGTTTTCCTACAGCCCCACCAAAACAGAATTTCATCATTATGTTTGCCACATGGAGGGTTAGGATACTTCATTTTATTTCAAATGTCTCCTGATCATTTTCATTAGTTGGCAGGGTTTTTTTGTTTAAAAGTAGTTAAATATTTTCATGTGGTATTCTCTAAATTTAAAATGTTCCCCAGCTGTGTAAGATCACTGGTTAAAAACTATATGAAGACCCTTTTTGTGTTTGTCTCTCTTACTAGAAGAGTTTTGTTGTTGTTGTTCAATACAGGACCTATATACTCAAAATAGAAGAAAATGAAAAGAAAGGTAACAAAAGTTCGAAACTTTAGATTTAGTCCCAATGAGGAAGCCTTGCTCTTGAAGGAAGAATATGAAAGAAGAAGAAAACAAAGATTACTACAGGTATGAGTCATTCTACATTTTTTTGAATTCAAATAAATATTAAACATAAAATAAAAATAATGTAACATACATAGATATTTATAACTTATAAAAATAACTGTAAAAGCTGGGTGTGGTGTCAATACATACGTGTATTCCCTGCTACTGGGGAGGCTGATGATGCTAGATCCTTTGAGTTCTGAGCTTCAGTGGGCTAAGCTATTAGGATGTCCTAATTAAGACTGAAATCTGTATGGTTAGCCATACAGAGTGGGTGGGGTTGAGGTGGAGAGGAATGCTTTAGCATGCCTGAGAAAGAAAGGAGTCTGCTATTGTGAGCTACTGTAACTACTTTACAAATATTACCTCATTTAAATGCACACAACCAAAGGAGTGGAGTTAGAAGTGTTAAGAGGGTAGGTAGTATTATCTTCAGTTGATAGTTGAGGACGCTAAGGCAGACAAAGGTTAAGTGACTTCCCTGGGGACACACTGCGGATGAGTGTTTTGAGGCTGGGTTTGAACTCCCGTCTTACTGACTCCAGCCTCAGTGCTGCACTACCTCAAAGTCCCTTAAGGAGGAGGGGTGAACTAAACTCTCGTGATAAGTTGTGGGATCCTACTTTTGAGGATTCTTCTTCCAGATTGGGTGAGAGAAGAGACCCAGTCTCAAAAAAACCCCCAAAAACATAGTAATAATATTAGTGTGTTGGTTGGTTTTGGTATTTACTCTTTCCCACTATCTTCCCCCTCCCATAACTAGCACCACTATTGAACAAGATTTTTTTAAAAAGAAAAACAAAGCCCTCAAACAGATCCATAGTTTGGCAAAAAACAAATTCTAGACAAATTTTAAACATTTATCATGTCTTGAAATGTTTATCTCTGTATTTTAAATTCATCTCCTCTCTGGCAGGAGGAAAGTAATGTGTTTTCTTCGCTCTTCTAGACTTGTGGCTTGTCATGTATGTGGCAGAGTTCTAAAGTCTTTCAAAGTTGTTTTTCTCTATGATGTTATTATCATTGTGTAGATTGTTCTAGTTCTGCTCACTTCACTTTGCTTTAGTTCATAGAGGTCTTCCCAGTTTCCTTTGAAGCTATCCATTTCAACATTTCCTGTAGTGCAATAATAAACATTTATGTGTACCACAGTTTCTTTAGCCATTCTCCAATAGGACAGACCCTTAAGTTTCCAATTTTCACTATTGCAAAAAGAGCTGCTACAGATATTTTTGTAGGTAGAGGTCCTTTTCCATTTTTTATTTCTTTGGGGTGCAGCTGGATCATAGTGTATGTAAAAGTTCAGTAGCTTTTGGGGCATAGTTCAAATTGCTTTCCAGAACAGCTGAACTAGTTCCACCAACAGTGCTCTATCTAGTGTACTTGTTTTCTCTTAGCCCCTCCAACATTTGTCATTTCCCTCTTTTGTCATCTTTACCTAACTGATGGGTGTGAAGTGGAGCCTCGGAGTTACTTTAATATTCACTTCTCCATTAGTGATTTAGAGCATTTTTCTTTCTTAAGAAATATTTTTATTGGTGTCTTTTTTTTTAATGGTCATAATTTCCCCCAGTATCTCTTCTCCAGCCCTCCCAGAGAGCTGTCACAAATAACAAATAATATTTTTTAAAGACAAAAAGAAGAAAAAAATCAGCATAACTTATTTAATACATTGAAAATATCTGAAAATATGTACAATATACCACATTAATTGACCTGCACCTCTGCAGAAGGGTAGGGTAGAATTGGTTTCTCATATCTTTTCTTTGGAGCCATGCTTATTCTTTGTAATTTTACAACATTCACCTTTATTTTGGTAGTGGTAGTTCTTTCCATTTATTGTTGTAGTCATGTATATTGTATTCTTGGCTCTTATTACTTGGTATCAAGTTCAAGTAGATCTTTCCATGCTCCTCTGTATTTATCATATTCATCATTTCTTATAGTAAAACAATATTCCATTCATTCACATATCACAGTTTGCTTAGCCGTTCACCACTTGATGGGTTTATCTACTTTGTGTACAATTTTTTGCTATTACAAAAAAGTTCTGCTGTAAATATTTTGGTGTATAAGAAGACTGATTTCCTATCAGTTACCTCCTAGGAGTATAAGCTTATTAGTGGAATCTCTGAGTCAAAGGGTAAGGACATTTTAGTCACTATATTTGCATAATTCCAAATTGCTTTCATTTAAACCAAGCAGGAAGGCTTAAATTAGATGTAAGAAAAACTTACTGGAAGGATTATCAGACACCCAGCTGATTGTTAAAAAAGGTTTGTAGAAGCCCCTTTCCTGGGATTCTTTAGAATAAGATAGATACTACATTTGTATATGATGATTTTGGCATTGTTTTGCAAGGAGCTAAACTCTAGGATTCTCTTTGAAACTTTTATGTTTCCCCAGATTTGCTTGACCATGCCTGCCACACTGTTTTCCCTATCAGGATAAGAGAGTGACAATGGCAGTTTTCTGGTGGGAATTTCCACCTCTTTCCTTAACTTAAATTTTTCCTTTTTTGAATTTTTTTTCATTGCTGTGAATTTTCTTTAGATGTTTGGGTATTGTATTGCATTTTAGATAGCCAGGGTAATACGTTTCTTTTTTTGTTTTTTTGTTTTTTGGTGAGGCAATTGAGGTTAAGTGACTTGCCCAGAGTCACACAGCTAGTGAGTGTTAGGTGTCTGAGGCCAGATTTGAACTCAGGTCCTCCTGGCTCCAGGACCGGTTCTTTATCCACTGTGCCACCTCGATGCCTCCGGATAATACATTTCTTAAAGAAAATTAATTTCTGATGATTTGGGTCAAAATGTTCTATTGTCTTTTACCCAATCTAATTAATACTTAATTCTTTTCTTAGGTTAGAGAACAGGAAAGATGCATTGCTTTTCAGATAAGACAAGAAGTAAAGCAGAGGAGGGATCAGCACCTCCATCATTTGGCAGAAGAGTTGAGGATAGAATGGCTAAAGACACAAGAACAGAAAATTAAAGAACTGGAAAAACTGTACGTGGCAAGCTTACGATCTGTGGGAGAGGGACATCGTGGCGCTAAGGAAAACGTGAGTAAAAATTTTACCACTCACATATTCATGAAAGACTAATTTGAGTGCTTGAGCTTTTTGATGCTACAATTATATTTTTAAAATAGCATAGTGAACTTAATTTTCAGTTGGGCAGCCTGAATAATTATATGCTTTCAGTAATCACATATATTTTAGACACATTCAGTGTGACAAATTAAAATTCTCCTTACTAGTAAAATATAAAATTGCTATGTGGCAGAAGTATTTATTGAGGTAGCATACCAACTGTCTTCCAGGAACTGTGTATGTATTGGTGAATGTTCTCACCAAAACCAACACCTTTATGTGTATCCTTGGGCCCATCTCCTTCTCTTTTCCTATAGCAGATTGTGCCTTCTGTCATCCTCTCTCTTGAGTTATTAGCCTCTGCCTGTCTTACTAGTTCCTTCCGTACTGCCTGCAAACACACATAAGTCTCCCTCACTACATCCTGCCATCCTCCTCAAGCTGTTGTCCAGCGTCTTTTGTCACTAGAAAAAAGTCCATTATCTCTCCTTACTTGCTTCTTAATCCTCTGCAATCTGGCTTTCTGTCTCAACTATTAACTGAAACTGTTCTCTCCAGAGTGATCAATGATCTCTTAATTGCAAAGTCTAGTGGCCTGTTCTCAAGTTTTAACCTTCAGAAACCCTCTACTGTATATATGACATCCTTTCCTCTATCATCTCTCTGGGTTTTCATGATACTGTTCTTTCTCCAATCTCTACCTATCTTCTTGACAGCTCCTCTGTCTCTTTTGCTGGTTTATCAAACCATACTCATTTATTGATGTGCCCCAAGGCTCTATCCTGGACACCCTCTCATTTGGTTTTTTCATCATCTCCCGTAAGTTTAATCATAACCTCTATATATGACATCCAGATCTGTATATAGCAAGGCCTTTCTCTCCTGAGATCGATTTTCATATCTCCATCCACGTGTTTGACATTTCAGACTGTCCTGTTGGCATCTCAAAACAATTTTGTATACAAAACAAAATTCATTATCTGTTCCCTTAAACCCTACCTCTTTTCTAAGTTTCTTTATTACTGCTGAAGGTACTACCATCCTTCTAGTCACCCAGTTTCACAATCCTTATACTACCTCACTCCACATAGCTACTCAGTTGCCAAACCTTGTTTCTGCCTCCACATAAATCTCCCTTTCTGTATTCATACTGCCAAAACCATATTTCATCATTTCTCACCTGGACTACCGCAGTGGCCTCCTAATGGGTATTCATGCCACGTGTCTCTCCATTTCACTCTCCCTCACAGCTCCTGAAGTTATTTTCCTAAAGCATAAGACTGACTGTGTCATTTTCCAACTCAGTATACTAACTTCAATGCATCCCTGTTGCCTTTAGGATCAAATATAAACGTCTCTGTTTGGGTTTTTGTAACCCTTCACAACCTGGTTCCAATGTTGTTTTAAGTTACTTTCTGTCCCGTATTCTGTAATCCAGCCAAACTGGCCTTGCTGTGTTTCATACATAGCACTTCATGGCTGTCTCCATTACCTGGAAATATTCTTTTCACCTTTGCCTCCTAGAATCCCTTTTTTCCTTCAATATTCAGCTCAAGCACTAATTACTTTGTATTTTTTTTTATATCTTTATGTATCTGTCTTCCCTGTTTTATTTTTCATCTGTATCCCCAGCACCTAGCACAATGTCTGGCATTAAAATAAATATTTGTTGATTGTTTCTTGCTTGAAGGGCTTTAAATAATATGAAGTAAGTCTCTTATTCGTCAAGATAACTAAGGAAATTGAAATTCCCTTAGTTGAAATTTTTTTAGACTACATTACTGCTTAAAATGTTGCTTATTCATTAAACAGACACTTTTGTATTTTTCTTATTACAGTTTTTTGGGCAGTAGGTAATTAGCTATTAGCGGTTGCTTGTTTTGACTTAACAGTTTCATAGCATAAATGTTGTTGACTTAACAGCTTTTTAAAAAGCTTTTTACTGGCCCCCTACATATCTGCAGTGACTCACAATCTTACTACTATTTGATCTTTCAGTAAGTAGGTATGACAGCAATCATATATGCTTGAATTGAACTGACACAGAATATATTGGAAAACATGAAGAGATATGCCTTATTTGTTATTTAATATGTTGGCTTTAAGAATGTGCAAATTTGTATGAGTCTCATTTACTTGAGTCTTCATTTGACTTCATTTCAGAACTCATTGTTTCTTTGTGAATTATGTTAAAAAAAAAAACAACAATGTTTTGTGGGCCTCACAACAAGTCATAAAGAACAAAGAAATTGATTACGAAGGAGATAGTTCTGTTACTATAGATAGGAAGGAATATTTTAAAAGAATATGACTGTTAAATAAGTAATTTTAAAAAGCTGAGTATAGTAGTGGTTTTTATTACTCTGCATATCATCACCATTAACTTCACTTTTTAATGTTTCGAGAAAGGAGAAATTTAAAAATTTTAGTTTCAAGTAAGATGTGTTTCAGTTGGTCACGCTTTAATACATACTTTTGTTATAGTATTTTAAATTGACTTAAATTAATTTTAGGCTCCTGATATAGATGATTTGATAAAGCAAAGAGAGGAAAGGCAACAGAGAGCGGAGGAAAGAGGCCAGGAAGCATTGAAAAAAGTGAAAAATGAAAAAGAGGAGCTATTGAAACAAAAAACATGGTAAAGTAGCATTTTTAATGTCCTCTATTTTTGTAGAAGAAAAAAATGACAAGAATGCTTTTAATTGTGTGACTCATGTTGACACAAAATTAAGTAATTTGTGTGTAAATACAAAATGGTAACTACAGAAAATGAGGCCACCAAATATCATGTATTCTTTTTAACTTTTTTCAGTTAACAAGAATTTATCTTCTCTCTCCTCCCCAATGAAAAAAGAAAGATAAAATCCTTGTAACAAATAAGCATAGTCAAGCAAAACAAATTCCTGCATTAGCCATATCCAAAAATGTATGCTTTATTCTGCATTCTGTATAGTCTGTTATCTCTATCAGAGGTAGGATTGCTTGCTTCATATTCAGTCCCCTAGAGTTGTGGCTGATCACTGCATTGATCAAGTTCTTAAGTGTTTGAGTTGTTTATTTTTATGGTATTGTTATTACAACATTTTTTTCCAGTTATGCTCACTTCATCTGTGTTGGTTTATGTTTTCCCAGGTTTCACTAAAAGTTTTTTCCCCACATCATTTTTTATAGTGCAACAATATTCTGGTACATTTGTATGTCATATTTTTTTCAGCCATTCCCTAGCTTTGCCACTGCTGTTTTTGTATACATGGATCCTTTTCCTCTTTTTTTGATCTCTTTGAGATGTATGTCTATGAGCACTTAAGTGACTTTTGGGACATAGTTCCGGAGAGCTTTGTCTTTATGCCCTCACAACAGAGGTTCATACCTGTTTAAGTATATCTTTGTCAATCAGTATTTTTATTCCTAGAATATCATAATTAGGAAAGACTTTTTTAAAAGGTCATGTGGTCTGTGAATCTCTTCTACAATTTCCCAAATGAGTTAAGTTGTCATTGAGGCTGTTTTAACACATACAGTGAGTGGCAGTCATTCTTTTTTTAAAAAAGTTATTGATTTTTTCTTATATCACCTAAGAGATCAATCTTAAGACAAAGCTCATTCCAGTTTTTAAGTGGTAGTCTTTATTAGGGACTTCTTCCTTAACTACTAAATAATTAGGAAAAATAACACAGATGTTATTACTATTTAAAAAGGTGACCAAGAGAACATGAATAACTATAAAGACCTTTAAAATCATTCTTTAAAAAAATCTATACACATATCGAGGATATTCTTGATGAAAGTAGGAGAAAGCAGTAGTAAAGTGTTTGAAAATGATTCTCTACAGTAAACCTTATTTCATAGTCACACAATTGTCTGAAAGGTACAAAAATACAGTATACTACTGGGCTTATTTTTTTTATTTAAAACATAATCGTAAGACCATAATATGTAATCTGATGGGGTAAAATACAGTCTTAAAGGCTGCCCAAGGTAGCCTTTCCCAAAATACACATCACTTAAAGGCTGGCCAAGGTACATATCACTCATGTGTATGTTAGGACCATGTAAGATTCTAGTGTTAGGTTAACAACAGAGATAACTTGGGTCCTCTGGTCATTAATCCCAAGTGAAATTTAAAGCAGGGACTATATGGGCTAGCTTAGGAAGTTTGCCAGGGCAGTATCTAGATGGAAAAGGATTCCCTTTGGGTGATGACAACTTTGTGATGATTGCACTAATCTATAGAATGTTAGTCTCCTACATGAGATCCAGAATCACTCAAAAGAGTAACCTGGGGGCAGCTAGGTGGTGCGGTGGATAGAGCACTGGCCCTGGAGTCAGGCTGACCTGATTCCAAATCCGGCCTCAGACACATAACACTCACTAGCTGTGTGACTCTGGACAAATCACTTAATCGCAATTGCTTCACCAAAAAAACCAAAAAAGGTAACCTGATACAACAGGAAAGAACAAATGAATGTCTGTTGTCCAAATTATCATGTATAGTTGGATAGAGAGCCCAATGACCAGTCTCCACACATAGGACCAATGCTGAAGACAGATAAGAAGCTGAGCTTGTAATTGAGTAGGAAGGAGAAAGGGCATTGGATTAAATTGAATTCAGAAAATTGACGCTCTCTACAATCTCAGGCTCCTCCATCAAGCACAGACTCATATTTTTAGCTATAATCTTCTGGTTGAGGTTTTTTTTTAACTGTGAATAATAGAGTTTGCCACAATCTCCAAAGAATCGGAATTGCAGGTGACACAAAGGGAAATGAGGAGATGGAGGGTGGGTGTGAGTAGGCTTTAGTACTCTAGCATCAATGATCTGGTAATAAGTAGTAGTAAAATGACAATTATTTGGGAGCTGGATGACTGGAAAAGGAGCTAGGCTGGTCAGATCTCCAGAGTGAGGAATGCCAGGTGCACCTGTGTAAGATATCTAGAGAAGGCTTTCAGCTTGAGGATTAAGAATTTGTTGTTGCATATAGATCAAGTTCTCAATAGGTAAGGTCTGGAAAGGTTGTGATTTCTCTGCCTTTGGCAGAAACTTGCATGGATGAGATCACAGATCTGCTGAAATAAAAAAATTCATTCTTATACTGAAATGCACATTTAAATAAAAAGAAAAATGATGACATTTTAAAAACCTTATATTGAGCTAGAAATTAGTTTTATATATGTCTGTCTCCCTGTAACTTCTCACTCATCCTTTGGAACCATGTAGAATAAGTATAATTTCATTTCTACCTGCCTTTCACAAGGAATCTGTTGCGTTTTCCCCAAGTTTTTTTCTTTTTTGATGCTAAATTTTCCTAGTTTCTAACCTGGTTTTGAATTCTGACATCATCCTGCCATGTCCCTCTAGACACAATCTAGTTTGTGAATCTCTCTTAAGAGTTGCTAGAAACTGAACCAAATATTCCAGGTGTGGTCTCATATTAAAGTGTATAAGAGAACTGTTACTGCCTTCTCTAAATTTGTATAGTACACTTGCAGGGTTTTCATAACAACCAATCAAATTGCAGCCTGTTATAACTAATACATATTTTAACATATAAAATATGTATATTTGTGTGTGTGTGTAAATAATTTGAGTCATTTTTTCCCCATGTTTGCTGATTGTAGCTTTGTTTTGCTCCCAGCCAGTATTCTAATATTTGACATTTTGAGCTTAATTGAATGTACTTTTTTGGAAAGAATGCTGGACAACCTCAGTTCTTTCTAATCTGGGTTCTGAAAACCCGGGTTCTTTCTAGTCCTGGCACTGCCATCTACCACTCAATTGACTTTGGGATAGGCCTGTACTGTCTTCAGCTAAATTCCTTAGGTGTTAAAGTGAAAATACCTACTTGACTACCTCATAGGGTTGTTATAAAGATCAAATTTATGTAATATATGTGGATACTCATCGTCAGATATGAAGTGCAATCCAGATATGAGGTGATATGACATTCCAGATCAGAATGTTTTATAGAAAAAAAAATTGAAGACATACTGTGTCTAGATGTCAAGTTTCAGGCACTGTGGCATAAGGAATTAGATTAGAAGGCCTCTTGACAGACTCCTGTTAAACATGTTATCTGGTACAAAAGATTAAACCATTACATTATTTGAATAGATATGAAAAATGGTATTGTGAGTAGAAGGGACATCTGAATCATGTAGGCCACAGCTCAAGTCCTGCCTTTGACATATACAGGTTGTATGAACCTGGGCAAGTAATTTAATCTCATCTATCCCAGGCGGCTTTGTCTAAGTTACAAACAAGTTGATCGTTTTCATCAGAAGAGGGAATTTCCCCTTTGGAAGTTCCTTACACTGATGAAATCTCAGATGCCAGACGCAAAGGGGTCGGTGGAGGGGTTCAGGTTGGGAAATTATTTGAATATTCATTTATGACTTCTTGTTTCACTCAAGGTACATAGAAACTCGTAAGAAAGTACTACACGAGGAAAAAGAAAGAGCTGCAAAAATTGCAAGTCTGCCACCTCCTCCTCCAAATCCTTTTGAGGTGAGTTATGTGATTTTGAGATGGTTAAAAAAGAAGAAAGAAAAGAAACTAAACTGTCATTGATGCATTTTTCTCTTAGAATATTGTGGAGATGAAAACAACCAAGAGTTAAAGGAAAAACTGACAAAAGGTTATTAGGAGGGATTATTTGCTTTCTTAAAATGTTAATGACTAGTTTTCTTTTTTTTTTTTTTTAATGATAGTAGACTTCTGTTTTTTGCTGTATGCACCTTTGGATATAAATTCTTAGTAATTTTAGTTTCAGTCAGTCAGTAAACATTTATTACTTGACTGCCATGTTCCAGGTGCTGTACTAAGCACTAGGCATATAAAAAGGTAAAAAGGGACGAAAGACATTCCCTGCCCTCAAGTAGCTCACAATCTAATGGTTTGATACAAAGGAGAAATTAGGTTGGTGGAGATTGTCTGTTTTAGCTTTGAATAATTTGGACCCTTTTCCCCTCCCCTTTTTTTTTTATTTTCAGCTCCAATTTCTGTCCCTCCCTTCAGTCCCTTCCCCCACTCAACTATACCCGTTATACATAGACGGTCATGTGACACAAATTTTCACATATTAGCCATGTTGGGGAGGGGCAAGAAAAATAAAGAAAGCTTACTGAATTGGTGAGTGGATTATATTAGAGGGTTGGTCCTAATAAACACAAACAAGGGAAGAAATAAACTTCCAACAAAAAAGTTTTATGTTTTAAAAATATTATTAGTTTTTCAATTACAAGCTTTTACTCTCCCACCAACTCTGCCTTTCGACAACAACAGAAAGAAAAATATAAAAAATTCATTAGAATTATGTGAAAAAGAAATGAAATTAGTTAATCAAGAAACTAAATTTAGCCTAACCTGGGAAAGTGATTTTAAACATATAAAGTTATATTTATATGAAGTGATGTTTTTATTATATAATTATGAACTTGGTTCCACAAAAAGGCATACTACACATGTGTATGTATATGTGAATTCATTAGCTGAAAGAGTGTGTGTGTGTGTGTGTGTGTGTGTGTGTGTGTGTACACACACACTATCATAGGATTGTAAGTTTAAAGCTGGATAGGACCTTAGAGGCCATCTAGTCTAAGCCCCTCATTTTTCACTTAAGGAAACTGAGGCCCAGCAAGACTTGCCCGAGGCCATTCACATAGTGTCAAAGGCAGGATATAAAATTGGGCCAGCCACAGTATTTTATGTTGTAAAAGACTAAAGGAGTATCTGAGTCTAGTGAGGGGAAAATTCTGGTTGGATTATAGGAGGATGAGGAAGATAGTTCTAGTCAAGGAGGACTCTGGATCATTTGGGGTGTTTGTTATGTGTAGTTGTTTTCTTAATTGTACATTAGATTGTGAGTTTTTTGAAGTCAGAGACTATTGCCCGTTTTTTGTGTCCCCAGCATGTACCACAGTGGCTGGCACACAGTAGATGCTTAATAAATGTTTTTTGATTGATTGATTTTTTTTTATTGTGTTAGGTCTTTGGGATACCTGGTTCTCTCTTCTGCCTCACCCTTTCATGTGACTTCTATATTGTTACTTTTAGCTCTTGAAGTATTACATGAAAAAGTTGGTCATGTGCATATATACCTATTTACAAACATATGACGAGGTGACAAATTGTTTGGCTGTTGTCAAGGCATGGGGACTTGTATGTATCTGATAATTTAAGCATAAAAACTACTGGCTCAAAACTTCATTTGAGGATGTTAATCCTTGAATATACTATATATTTTCCTGTCTCCCCTGGAACAATGAAAGTCTTTCACTCTGTAATGTGCATATAAAATGAACTATTTGGACATGAGATATTTTTTTTTAATGGGCTAAAATCAGAGGGGCAGGGTGGTATAGTTGATAGAGCTGGCCTTGGAGTCAGGGAGACTTGGGTTCATATCCCATCCCTCACAAGTACCAGTATCCAAGATGATAGTTGCAGAACAGCTGCTGGTCTGCCTAGATATAGAGTCCTCGATGTCAGTTCCTTACACCGGTGAAATCACCAGTCTGGACCTCCAAAAAACCTCAGATCACTAGTCTGGACTCCCCTTCTTCTCCTCTTCCCCCCACCTCCTCGCCAAGAAAAAACCCATACTTAAATTTTTCTATTAGAGAACTACTTACATTGCTGAGGTTAATTCAGAGTAGTCAGGTTTGTTCTTTATGCACTTAGCCCAGATATAGGAATAGAGTAACAGAACCCCTTAAAGATGTCTGACTCTGTTGTCTAATTTACATCAAAGGTTCTTGGCAATTTGTCCATGAAAGAACTTGTTCCACCTATTAAGTCTATATAGTGCCTTATGTTGGTTTATTGTTCATAGTAATGATTTGGAGATGCTGCTGTGTCCCAAATAGATTGCTGAATCAAGTAAGAAAAATCTGTTACCTTATATGTTTACGTATATTTACCTTATATATTTATGTTGTGCTGTTCACTCTTTTGCATATGTTATCTCATGAGATTTATAGCTTTGTTAATGTATTAACTAGAGGAATCACACTCCCTAACCATGTATGTGTGTATGTGAAGGTGCATGGACACATTAGCTGAAGGTTATTAATGAATCACCATGTGATAATCTAGTTGGTAGCTTTAAGATAGTTATTTGTTATGGTAACAATAGCAAATGAAATGGTTAGATTTCATGCTTTATATTTATAACTTGTTTTATTATTTTTGTGATCACTTAGTAAAGTTTTGGTACATTTCAAAGACTTTATTGTTGGATTTTTCTATTTGTAGGCAGTCCTCACACTTAAGACATGCTACCTTCCTGGAAAAGGCACAGTAAGTCAAAATTATATAAATTATTTTATTTTCCCTACAGTGATGGTGTGAGGATAATATTCTTGACGAAAGACCTGATGCTTAGCATTTTTTAGAAATAACAGGGGGCAGCTAGGTGGCACAGGGATAGATAGTAGATAGAGCACTGGCCTGGAGTCAGAAGGACCTGACTTCAAATCTAGTCTCAAACATATAACACTTCCTAGCTGTGTGATTCTGGGCAAGTCACTTAATCCTAGTTGCCTCCCTTGAAGAAAAGAAAGAACAACAAACACCATGTTTAATAAACTGAAAAGACATAGTCTATAGCTTTCTTGAATGTATTTGAATTAATTAAATGAGGCAATACAGTAACCACTCACATAGTTATATTTAATTTGGTACCAAATATAACAATATAGTAATTCCTATTGTTTTTATTCTAACAAATTAGAAGATAATGGAACACCTTTTTCAGAGTCCTAAACTTCAGGAGAGTTTCTTTAGGGAAGTTTTTGAGAAGATTTTTTTTATCGGACTTAGGACTTCATGTTTTTGAGAAAGTATAGTAAAGATGTCTGTTTGCTGCTTCTTGCTCATTCTCAACTCTTTCCTAGAGTTTTCCAAGCGGGTTCTGCTTCATTTTGCAACCTAATGTTCTGTAAGACATAGCTGCCTTCAAAATATGTAAACTAGCCCTCATTTGCAATGCATTTTTTAAAATTTGTGATTCTTTATAATGTTAGTATTTCAGTATCCAAAAATCTCAAGACACCAGCTTGAATGGTGATAATCAGGAAAGAAGTTTTCTCAGTTTACGTTCTCACACGTCTCCATGTTATCCGTAAGCCCTACACTTTGAATTAATATGTCAATTACAATCTTATAAAGCAATGCTCTTTCCTTTATTACCTATTTTTAAGCATTAAAACTGCATATGAGGGGCAGCTAGGTGGGGCAATGGATAGAGCTTCGGCTTTGAAGTCAGGAGGATGTGAGTTCAAATCCGGTCTCGTACACACAACACGTACTAGCTGTGTGACCTTGGGCAAGTTACTTAACCCCGATTGCCTACCAAAAAGCAAAAAAAAAAAACTGCATATGACAAAAAGGTACAGATGTATTATGACTTTATAATAATACAAATTTTGGTTTGTTTAAAAACATCAAAAGGTGTATATACAAATGATTGCTCTTCTTCAAGTGATCCTATTGGGAAGATAAAACTTTTTATTTGTGTGATGCTGTCATTGTTTAAATTATTTTTTGGAATTTCTCTTTCAGATTGCCTTTAGAGATATTTTGCTAGACGCTCAATAAAGCATTATTTTGCCGTGAGGTCTTTTCTTCTTTCTGCTTTCTTACTTTGTTTGGTTCACTTAGTTCTTCCTTTCTTCTCTTCTGCTCTTTGAGCTGATAGACACTCAGTTTTGGTGTTGACTAGCCTTCAGGAGACAGTAGGGAGATACACTATGATGCCAAACTCAGACTGGAAGCCAGGGGGAGTTTTACATCAAATGGCCTTCTGTAAATATTGTATGTTGCAGATGGAGGTGTGAGTAGCTAAATGTTTAGGGGAAGGGGAAGGGAAGGCACATTTATATAGTGCCAGCGAGGTGCCACACCCTGTGCTGAGCACAAATACTACCTCATGACAACCCTAGGAGGTAGTTGCTGTTATTTATCCTCATTTTACAGCTGAGGAAACTGAGTCATACCAAAGTTGTGAGCTGCCTGAGGCCACATAACTTGTAAGCTTAAGATTTGGAATTTGAACTCGGGTCTACCTGACTCCAGGCCCAGCTGTCTACTGTGCCCCCCAGCTACTCTAAATAGAAATACTAAGTGGAATTACCTTTAATTTTAATCTCCAATTTTTAAAAACTATCTTTTCAGATTCAAAGCAGTATGTATATGATCTGTTTTTATTTTTTTTTAAATGTGGGTGTAGGTGTACATACGTATATGTATATATAGCTACATGAAGTATATTTAAATTTAAATAATTTTAAATTTAAATGAGTAAACTTACCTTGCAAAATAATTATGCTAATAATACTATTTTGATTTGTTTGTGATCTGATTAGTGTAAGATTCTCTCTACCAGTAGATCGCAATTCTTCCTTGCCTTTTCAATTTGTGATTCTTACCTGTGTCCTTCTGTAAATCTACCAGAGAGAATCTAAAAAGCAAGTTGGACAGCTCATTTAATTTCTTGGTGTCCTTAGCAATTCTCTAAGACCATACTTGTAGAACTGTTGCTCATCTTTACTTTAGGTTTTTTAATGATTTGTGCCTGCTAGTGTAACAGTCATGCCACATGTCTATTATCTCTAGCTTTTGATACATGCTAGGTGGTGTTGAGCCTGGAATCAGGAAGAACCAAGTTCAGATTTGGTCTTAGACACTTATAAACTCTACGACCCTGAGCAAGTCACTTATTTGACTCAGTTTCCTTATCTGTAAAATGGGGGGCAATAACACCTCTTCTCCCCTTCCTCTTTCCTGTCCTTAGGGTTGTTGTGAGGATCATATGAGGTAATTGTAAAGCGCTTAGCACAGTGCTTGGCACAAAATAAGTGCTATGTAAACGTTAGCTATTATTGTTGCTATTATTATTTTGGCCCATCTCCTTTTCCAGTCAATATGTGTTTTTGATGTCTTTTATGCCATTTTTAGTGTGTGAGTCATTGTAGTGTGCTATTGCCTAGTTACACCAACCGTATGTCTTTTTGTTGCCTTGTCATCTGAAATATTGATTATTCTAAGATATTGTTCTTATGTTTCTCAGCTGTGTAAAATAACTAAAAGAATATTGGTATTAAAAAATATGGGAGATCATTAAAAATGCTACACAATTTTTTAAATGCCATACAACCTGTTTAGTATTGGAACTAGGTCTTTGTGTTTCTGTCCAAATATATGCATTGATGGACTGAAAAGAGCTATCATTCAGCTTCATAATATGAGTGATGTGCATTCTTTATGCATTTTGTTTTTCCTATATGAATTGCTAGGACAATCTCTTTTGAGTGGCTATGGATTTTACTGTGAAGTCCCTGTAGCCCTCAGGACACTGTTCTCTACAAATAGGAAATCATTTCATGTGGCTGTGACCATTTACAGGTGATCTGTAAAACATAAATTCACTGGTACAGATTATAACTAAGGAGATTCCAAAATGGATCATTTTGTAGAGAAGAAAAATCCTTTCTTAATGTAAATAATTACCTTTTAATTTCTGTTTTGTAAATTCATTTTTGCAGGTAATACCTGCATTGAACTGATCTTAATTTTTTTTAATGGCAGTGAAAGGGGAACTGCTATATCCTATATCCATTTCCTGGATTTTAAAGCCCACCATAATAACCTACTCATTTCACTCATCTTATAGCCTGTTCATCCTGCTGTGCTTCCTGCATTCTTCTCGACAAATTCCCCTATGTCTTTAAACCTTGAAACCAAAATTTATCCCATTTACTCATCTTATCAAAAACCTGGCTGACCCTAAAAATACCACATCACTTGCAGTTCTGTCCACTGCAGACTGCTGCTTTTCCTGTTTCACCTGACTCATAGAGCCAGGAGGAGAATTGTAATATTCCTTATTCTCCCTTACTACCTCCAGATCTTTCTTCTCCCTCATCTCTGTGTCTTTTTTTTTTTAACATCTATGCAATCTGACTGTAATATCCTCTCCCCTTAATCCCCGTTGTTGCTATTTCCTGACCTCCAGTTCATTCTCCCCAGTTTTCTCAGTGACTTTATGGCTTATGATCTATTTTTTCACATCTTTGCCATGATACTGATGAAGTACTACTGTCACATTCTGACTTTTCTGTTATCAGACCAACAAGTAATTTCCTCTGTATCCCTCAGTGATCTGGGATGCTTTTAATCTCTTCCTATGATCCTTACTGTAGGATATCTCACCTGGCATCCTTTCCCTGGAGGCAGCTTGGAACAGTGGGAAGAGTGCCAGCTTTGGAGTCAGAGAACCTGAATGCACATTCTGGCTTTATTAGCCCTTATCTGTGCATGTAATCTTGCTTAATTTTTGTTGACCTTAATTTCCTGAGCTATATATAGGGAGGGTGTTGGACTAGGTGGCCCCTAAGGATTTTTCAAGCTCTGTATCTGTGATCTGAGAACCTGTGGGTTATCATCTTTATTTCATGAAACGCAATCAGCTTCCTCTTTCTTAGACAATCCAATTTGTTCCTCTTACAGGTAGGCCTTATATTTGTTACTTAGCTTTGAATGTTCGCTGGGCAGAATGTAGAGTCTCCTCTGATTCTTCAGATTTCTCTTCCTTCTTCTGCTCATATCCTTGTTCTTCCTCATCTTCTATACACCCTCTACTCTTTCTATGGTTGATGATAAGATAGGAAAGGAGCAAAGATAGGGTTTGAACCTGGTAATTGGGAGATTGGTGCTCTTAATACAAATAGTGAAATTAAGGAAAAGGGCAGATGTAAAGGAAAGATGATGAGCTCCATTTTGGAGGTGATAAGCAGTTATCTTATTTGATCTTTACAACATTGTATGAGGTAGGTGAGATTAACTCCCATTTTACAGATGGACAACTTAAGGGCTCAGAGGTCAAGTGACATGTTCAAGGTCATATGGATGACAGAGTGACAAGTAGGACTAAGCCTTCAGTGCTTTCTGTCACTACAACATGAGGGTAGAGTATTCTGTGTGTCCTTCATATTAATAATGATAGTGAGGCTTTTACAGTCTGAATCCGGTTGTCTAATAATGGGTGAACTTTTATATGCAATAAATGTTATTAATTGGATGCCCTTTTAATTATATGATAGGTAAAATATAGGAATAAACAGATATGATTGGGAGGCATTTTTGTTAGATAAAAACTAATGGGTACCAGAGGATACTAAACAGGTGTTAATTAGTACCAGTATGAAGTACTAATTAATTGCTTTTTAGAATACTATTGTAATTCACAGAGCTTTAAAATGTTTCTGAAACAAATATTTTTATCTTCCTGAGCTACATGGTAGCATAATTAGAGTGCAAAATTATTTATTTCTCTCTATTCCATTTAGTTTCATGTGGAAAATAATGTTTTTGGCTTAGCAATTTGTTGTTCTATTTAATTTTTCAGAATCTTTAAGTAAAGAGAATTCCTATAGTAAAGACCGATAGCTTTTCTACTTTTCATCATCTTGACTCAAGTGTGAGTAAAGAGAAGGATGTATAATATTTTTAGATTTCAAAGCTAAAATAACCATAGCAGGCACTAGAAAGTAGCAGCCATTAGAAAAATCTTGAAAAATATGCTTTGGAATTACACAGTAGTCACACAATGGTTCTGATCTTTCCTTGGGACAAAATACAGAAGTCTAGAAGTCATAAACCATTATTTTCTCTGTCCTCGTTTGGGGGCTATTTTGTAAAAGTAGGACAACGTGGAAGAACTCAGCACAGATCCTTAAACGCTTTGAATGAGTTAGGCTGGCTGTTTCAGTATTTTGTGATGCAGTTCTTTTTTTTTTTTAATTGTAGGCTTTTTGTTTCTTTGTTTTCTTTTGTTTCATTTCTTTGCTCATATATGCAGCAATGCATGTTCTGTTTATTGATCCTATGAATTTTTTTAGTTATGGGGCTGGACTTGTGATATTTCATTGGGATGAGGAAAGTCTATCTAAGAAAATGCCTTTTGCCAGTGCAGGGACAGTTGCTCTTCAACATACAGTTATTATTGAGTTTTTGGAGCATGGAGAGGTTAAGTGAGTTGCCAAAGATCATGTAATCAACATGTGTCAAAGGTAGTACTTGAACCCAGTTGTGTCTGACTACCGGGCCTGCTCTATGCATTACGGCATACTGTTTTTTGTTACTAAATGAATAGGGACAGAACAAGAGAGGCTTTTTGTAATTTTAGTCTGGATGGCAGGTAATCTGAGCACTTTTATGTACAATTAACTTAAATTATTGATATATGGATATTATGTTTATTTTGAGTTAGAAAGGGAACTTGGAGATCATCTGGTCCAACCCCTTCCTTTCATAGATGGGTTAGAGACGGGAAGTGATTTGACCATGATCAGCATAGTTTAAGTAGCAGAGCCAGGTTTTAGATTCTTAAGTCTGCCTTTTCCAAGCTTGTCTCTTTCTGCTATGCTAAACTGTCCTTTAAGAGAAACTTAGACATGAATGGAAATAAATTTATCATGTATACATAGACTTAGAGCTTTACAAATAAGGAAAGTGAGGCCCAGAGATGGTAAGTAATGTGGTTAGGGCTTTGCCCAAGGTCAAACAAGGAGTCAGTGGTAGAGCCAAGATTTAGATCCAAGGTCTGTAACATCAGATCCACTGCACTTTGCAGTGTTCAGTATAATACCATTGTCTTCTTTTAAACCTCCTGGAAAATGTACTGTAAAGTGATTTTTTAAAAATAAAAATGGTATTGTAATTCATAAAGCTCTAAATTTTCCTTAGGAACAAAATTTAAAGTGGACAGCCAGATAATTCAGTTTTCTTGGACCATATGGTAACCTTTAAAATGCAAAACTTTTTTTCTCCATTTTTTAATGGAAAATAATATGTTTGCCTCAACAAATTGTTTTTGTTTAATTTTTCAGAGTGTTCAAGTAAAGGGAATTTCTACATTAAAGACCAATGCTGCTAGTAACCTTCCTACTTATCATCATCTTCACCCAAGTGTCATAAATGAGGAGAAGGATTTAGAGCAGGTGATTGACTTACTGCTTATGTAAATTATTGCTTTGGCTTCTAATATTACTAGATTTTAAAATTTAAATAACCTTAGCAAGCATTCATAGGTTATAGTCATTGGAAAAATATTTCAAAACATGCCTTTTTTTCTTTTTTTTTTTCCAAAACAGACTTTATAATTATATGTAGGGACATCATGATTCTAATTGTCCTATCGGACAAAATATGGAACTGTAGACAAAGGCATATATCATAATTTTCTACTCTATTTTAGGGTGTTGTGTAATTAGAACATGTCACTGTCCCAGAATTCAACTTATCTCTTAAAACTTTGAGAACAAGTTATGTTGACATAGTTTCATATTTGTCGATGCAGTACATTTACTCTGTTCGGTTTTCTCTTCCCGTTTAGGTAATTATACATAATCATGTGTTTGCTGTTGTTCTTATGAATTTATCTTAAAAGAAGTTTTTGTATCTTGAGTCTTTACAGCTGGTAATTTGAGAAGTATAACCAGTAAAATAATGAACATCCCTTTTATTAAATGATATATCTTAGGGATATAGATTAAGAGCTAGAAGGAATATTAGATGTCACCTAGACCAACTCCTTCATTTTACAGATGAGAAAACTGATGCCTGGAGAGAGATTTTACTTTCCTGTGGTCACACATTTAAAGACCTTGATCATCTGAGTCCAAATGTAGTGTTCTTCCTACTATGTTGGACTGCTGGGCATCTAAATAGAATGTTTAGATGCCTAAAAGTGAATGGAAATGACTTGGGAATCATTGCTTTTATTTAGATCTCCTGTAAAGATATTAGAGAATTTTTTTAAAATCCTGGTTCTATCCTTTAAGCTTTCTAACCTTTATTTCTTCTTCTGTGGGACAGTTATTTTAGATAGACAAGCTGATTTTCAGTTCTCTTGGGTTAGAATATAACTTATTAAGATGCAAAACTATTTTTGTCCATACCATTGGTTTTAAATAGAAAACAATGCCTTTGGCTTTGCAATTTTTTCTTGTGTTCAATTTTTCAGAACCTTCAACTGAAGCACATTTCTAAGATTACTGGCACTACTACTGCTACCTGTTCTGCTTATAACTTTGAACCAACTGTGGAGAGAGAGATGGAAGTACAGCAGGTGATCAACTTATTATTTGCTTATAGTACCCTAGAATTGTTTATTTTATCTTGATGTTAAATATAATACCTATTGATTAATGGAGGACTGCTTTTTCTTTTAGTTCTAAATATAGTATCCTGATTTTACAGAACTTGAATAATTCAGACAGCTGAGGTTACTCATTTTTTAAACTAAATATTTTCTGACCTTGCATAGCCATTGAAATAAAATAGCTATAGGTACTTATAGAATTATCAAAATTTGAAACTATAGACTTTAGTCTATTACATTAATATGACAGGAAACTTTCTAAATGTAGAATTTCTGTTCACTGTTTATTTGAGGGTTTTAAGGTACCCAAGTGACTTATTTGTGCTTTGTAACATTTATAGTTTATCAAAAGAATTTTTCCACTAAAGTATATATTTGTGTCACTTTTTCTAAAAAGGTGAATATTTTGTCACACTTTAAGTGCTACAAAAATATCAGTTATAATTAATGAAAAAATTTAAATGCATCCTTGGAGTATACATTTTTATTCTATGTTGATTAATTGTCTACAAAATAAATATTTTTAAAATGCAAATAAAAAGTAGTTAAATGGCGGATAGTTTGGAACTAGCAGTTGGCAAGATCAGGAAAGACCTCATGCAGAAAGTGCCACTTGGCCTGAGTCTTAAAGGTAACTAAGGATTCAAAAGGGCAGGGATGGAGGAGACGTATGGGATGACCATGCAATGGCACAAAGATAGGAATTGGAATTTGCCGCAAGGACAGTGAAGGCCGATTTGGCTGAATTGCAGAGTGCAGTAGGGAAAGTGTTATACAAGAAGACTGGAAAATATTATCACAAACATTAGAATGTAATGCTTTATTGTGTAATTAAGTACATTATCACGATGATTCTTCCATGGTTTTATTTGACATTAATACAACAATTAAACATTGAAGGAAAAAAGTTTTTGTTACTATGACTTTCTTTTTTTTTGCAATTGTGTGTTAATATACATCTGATCATTTTTTCACCCTAATTTTATAGTAATTAAAAGAAAAACATTAATCGCGTGTGTGGGTGTCCATCCGTGTCTGTTTTGTATAAAATATTATTGATTGCTAGCCAGATCCTCATTTGGCTGCTGAAGAGGAAACAAAGAGGTTGGAGGAACTACAGAAAGAAGTAATACAAGAAAGGAGAGAACAGCTTGAAAAGGCTCACATACGGGGAGTTCATGCCATGAGAAAGGTCCATTTGGCTAAAGTAAGCAAAACACAACTATATTTTCTTAGTCATAAATGTGAATACCAGTAATAGAAATACTTAGCATAGCAAAATGATAATAAATGGGTTGAAATTAGTGGAGTATGGAGGATGTTACAGTAATGTAGTTTTTATTCTTACATCTTCTGATTACAACTTGAACAACCTATGTTTATTTTCCTCTGGTACTCCATACATATTTATTAATGGTGACTATATCATAAAGTTAAATTTTATCATACAGACAAAAAAATCTCATGTTACAAAAGAGGTTAATTGAGAAGTCTGTTTTTTTAAAGCAGTGTTTTTCACTGTTAAGATTTAACACCAATACATTTGTATTCTTCTCTAATTTATCTGACAATAACCACAGATACTTTTATAAGTAATTTTAAAAGTGTGAAAACTGGTTTTAGGAATTTAGAGGATTTAAAAAATTTCCTTGCTAATTTGATACTATGTGAGTGCTGCTAGTTGAGATTACAAGCTTAGAAGTAATGAATAGTGTTGGTAGTCTATTTTATGAATTAAAAATGTTAATATTTGAAGTGTTATAGGCATTTTTCTTTGGAAATAGATTTTTTTTTATACTTTGAGATGTTTAAAATTTTTTATTAAAGCTCTATGCAGAAAAACCACAAAATTGCAGAGTTGGAATTCAATGGCCAACAAATCTTAACTCAGACCTGAAAAGTATTAATTTTCTAACAGGTAGAATAATTATCTAGCCTTTTCTTGAAGACCTCCATTGAGGGGGATCCACTCCCTTTTGATGGAGGTATGTAATGCCTAGTTCGAGGAAATTTATTTTTTGTTCTTGACTGAATCTTGCCTTCTTTAAATATTTAGTTTTGTTATATTATAACCTTGTAGTAAACCATAATAAAATGATTTATGTTATTCTTGGAACTTAGTAGTAATCACTAAATGTAGATAACTACTATCTCTTCTAAATCTTTTTATGAGTTAATGAAATACTGTTTAAAATAAACTGTTGTCTTTCTCTGTCTCCTACATCCGTTCAGTGATTTAAGAATTACGTACAGCATTAATGAATCAGAATTTTTTTTTTTAGGCAGTTGGGGTTAAGTGACTTTCCCAGGGGTCACATAGCTACTAAGTGTCAAGTGTTTGGTCTGAGGCTGGATTTGAACTCATGTCTTCCTGACGTCAGGGCCGGTGCTCTTTCCACCACGCCGCCTAGCTGCCCAGTGAATCAGAATATTAAAGTCATTCATGAACAAGTAGTTGGATTAATATCAGTTATTTACCACTTAATATCATTTTACTAGAAAAGTTGAGTTTTTGCTAATTAAAAGAAATTGAGTCATAATCTGACCTTTTTTTGACATAACAAAAAAAAAGCCTCCTACAAATAACAAAACATGGGGGAAAAAATCCACAAAGTAATTTTTTTAATAATCTTTAGTATTTTAGAAGAGCATTTTATTATTTATGTAGCTCCTGATTTTTATATATCACTTGTATATGGATTGCTAACCCACTTGAGCATTATAGGAATTTTGTCTACCTTTGTCGCTGGGAATTCCCCCTTCCACTTCCCCCGATAGGCTGTTACTTATCCCACAAATTTCTGTCCTCCTTTTTACTGCTCAGCCTCTGTACTAGTTGCTTTTCAGTTTAGAAATCTAAATTATCGTATTCAGAACCTGTTTTGCTTGATCCCTTGCTTCAGGCCTGAGAAGCCATCTCCAGTAGTTTGGAATAAGGAAAGTCAGTGATGTCAGGACTGTTCAGTGGTTTTTCAGTCATGTCCAACTCTTCGTGACTCCATTTGGGTTTTACTGGAATGATTTGCCATTTCCTTCTCCAGCTCGTTTTACAGATGAGAGAACTGAGGCAAAAAGGGTTAAGTGACTTGTCCAGGGTCACACAACTCGTAGGTGTCTGCGGCCAGATTTGAATTCAAGAAGATGAATCTTCCTGACTCCAGGCCCAGCATTCTACCTGCTTTGTCACTTACCTGCCTATCTGGACTATAAGTAGAGTGAAATCTGTTTGTGACATATCAAGTTGAAATTTTGTCCATATTTTCTCATATGATATTGTTATTAATGGTGGTAGTTTCTATAGTTAATATACTTCAAGTATTATGGGTTAATTAGATTTTTATGAGCTATCCATTGTTTATATTATTTCTATGGGAAAAGGCAATCTAGCTTCTCCTCCATTCTTCTTTCCTCTCTGGCCAGTTCATGAAAGTTGCAGAGAGGCAAATTTAGTCTTAATGTCAGAGGAAATTTCCTAATACTTAGAGCTATCCAAAAATAGAGATGGTGGGTTCTCCCTCATTGAGGTCTTTGGGGAGAGGCTAGGTGACTACATGGTCAGTGTTGTAGAGGGGATTCTTTTTTCATGTCAGGTTATATTTGATCGTCACTGAGGTCCCTGGTAGCTCTGAAAAAATTTAATGAAAGGGAGAGGAGGTCACACAGAATTCTCCCGGTGTTATGTTCTTCAAAATCTATGTTTTACCACAGTGCCATAATAGTTTCATCCCATAATAGCCTAGTTGGTAGAATATTTTTGTCCTTTGTGTTTAGGCATAGCTGGCAAATATATTCGATAGTAATGTTTTAATGGCAAAACAACTACAACAATGCTTTACCTATTCTAACTGATGACTTCATTGCCCAGAGCCTAATCAGTAACTAGGAAGTAAGCAAAAATACTTTGTGCAGCCCAAAAAATAAACAAACAAATAAGAGAGTGTGTATACACACACACACACACACACACACACACACACAGTTCATATACTGAATTTCTTGCCATCATTCAGAAAAAGTATCACATAATTGTAATTAGCTTAGTTATCTTGTTTCTTGAGCTACAGTAAATTAGAATAGAAATTGAAGGTGTTCTAGGCAAGCATACTAACACTGAAAATTGGCCATTTATTGCAATAAAGGGGGATGTGAACTATAGAAAGTAACTAATATATAATTTTTTTATAGATTACAAAGCGCTCTCTAGTGTAAAACCTATTTTCCCATATATTTATCTCCTTTGGTCTTTAATAAACAAAAATACCCCAAAAACCAAAAACTCAAATAGAATTGCGTTTGGGAACCAGTTCATATAAGGACAAAAAGCTCTTAAGGCCCTGAGGTCATTGGTGGAGTAAAGCATAGGATGTTCAGCATTTTGAGTATATCATTAGGAAAAGTGTAAAGATTGTATTATGTTTAGCATGCTTCATTTAAGAAGGGGAAAATAATATATGTTTGTCAGCTGACTAACAATGCCTCTTAACTTACCCAAACCCCAAAGATGGGATTTATTGGCATTTGTAAAGGGAGTTCCTTATCAGGAGCTCTCTACTCCAGTGAAATCGCAAAAGAAAGTGAGTGAATAAAAATTGCAAAGATTTCCATATAAAAATTTTTTTAAAAAGTTTTGATGCTTAAAATTTAAGTGTCTGACTATTTGGTAAATTTAGCCATCCAGAATCACTTATTTCCCCAGGTATCTGGATAGCCAAAGTAGGCTAAAGGAAAGTGGTTAGTACACATGCTACAGTGAGACCAAGGTATGGGGGTAGGAAAGACTAGCAAAGTGAAAGATCTTACTGTTACTCTTTTGAGTAAATAAATCTGAATTAATTTGCTTTTTATTTGTAGAACAGAGAGAAAATAATGAAAGAGCTGGAACAGCTGCAGCAAGAGGACCTGGCTCGTAGGAGGCAGAATGTGGCCCAGATGCCACCACAGGTGGTTGAGCTGCCATACAAGCGCATGGCCATCAAAGAGGACTGGCAGAGGGAATTAGAGTTTGCCTTTGAAGATATGTATAACTCGGACAAAAGTAAGATATTTGGGGGGTTTTTTAATGTATTAAATAGATGCTAAAGCCAAAAAATAGAACAGCCTGTTGTTTTGTTAATAAAGTAGGTTTCTCGTATCAAGAGGGTTTGGCAGTTTTAAAAAATGGACTATCAGTGTGTAAAGGTGCTTTTTGTTGTTGTTTTCATTTTTTTTTTTTAAGTTGCTCTTTGGGGGCCTTTTATCTTGTAAAAAATGGGTTTTCATAGTATTGGAAGAAACTTCTGACGTTTCTTTTTTTAGAGGTGAAAGGAAACCTGATTTTGAAACTAGAGCCAGAGCCTTTGCCAGTTGTGAGTGAACTCAACCAAGATGAAGAACTGGATCTTTCAATGGAGCAAGACTACGCATCTGAGGAGACTCAGAACCAAGAGAGAGTGGAAGAAGAAACTCCATTTCTCACAGAAACAGACAGTGAGAAACCCTGAAGCCAAGTTCATTTTAAATGAGCATAATTATATCATTTCAAAGAAATAATGCTTTAAGATATACAGATCATAATTTTAATTTATGAGTCTGTTATATCATAAGGGAAGTGAATGCTTTCCTTAAACTGTCCATTGATTATGTGAAAAGGAAGGTATTCTCATTTTAATGCATATTTTGGCAAGTCACTCACTCTTTCTCTTTTTACTTCTGCAACATCTCTCAAATCCATACCCTTTTCTCTTCATGTACAGACACCATCCTAGTACTGGTCCTCCATCACCTCTTGCCTGGACTCTTAGAAAGCCTCCCTAATTGGTCTTCCCTGCTTCAGATCTCTGCTCATTTCAGTCCATTATCCTCACATCTACCAAAGTGTTTTTCCTAAAATTCAGGTTTGACAATGTCATTTACCTACTCCTATTGCCTCTAAGATGACATATAAACCTTTCTGTGGGGCCTCGTTTTACATTATTCCCTTTCCCTCTCTGTGGTCTGTCGAAACTGGCCTTGCTGCTTTTCACATGGTGTTCCACATCCTGTTTCTATTCCTTTATACTGTTAAACCTCTGTGCCTATAATGCTCAGTCACTACCTTCTACACAAAGGCCTCCTATTACTTTGCCCCCTACCCCCTACAATTGCTAGTGCTATAAAGTAGTTAGGTTTTTTGGGTTTTTCCTCTCTAAACTTATATATAGGTGTCCATATGTGTATGCTTCATAGAAAAAGATGAAGACAGACATACATGCATGTTGTCTGTAATAATGTCAATTCCTTGGTAACAAAGACTTTCAATTTTGTTTTTGCATCCCTGTCAAACTGGCATCGTGTCTATAGGTACTTGCTGATTCTATCTAAAAAATTTTCAAGTTACATAAGTTTTCAGGTGTGAGGATTAATTTAGTCTTCAATAGTTTCTTCAGACTTCATTGAGTTCTCTTTCAACTTGAGAATAGTCTGGTATACTGTAAAGTAAAAATTGAAAAATCCATTATCACTGGTGAAAACAAACTCTGATACATTAATCTTGCAGTGTAAAAATAGGTAGTGAAAAAAGGAATTAGAGATAACAGTGGCCATGATAATTTTTTCAGTTTAGTGTTTTGTAGCAGCGATAGCTGGCAAATGATTATAAATGTAATGTGGTTTCAGCTTTGTGTTTAATTTTTTTCTTAGTTCCAGAGGCACAGGAAACTCACCATGCATCTTCAAAAACTGTGTTAAAAAAATTACTAGACAGAATCCAAAGCCAAAGATCACAGTGGGCAAATAGTACACTCCTGAAGATGAAAGTGAAATGCCTAAAATTTTTACTGATGCTGAAAGTGAGACATTGACAGTAGAGACAGGAACAATTACCAGTGAAGAAAAACTGTTGGATAAACCAGAGCATACACAGGAACAAGGTATTATTCTCTAGTATCCATGGTAATCCAACACCTATAACTTTTTGATTCTTTTAGTATTTATCGTGCTTCAGAATCCATACTAACTCTAAAAGAAGGTATCATCATTCCAAGTTACAGATGAAGAACCTGCGGCCCAGAATTTTACTCAAGGTCACGCATAATTAATGGTAGACTTAGCACTAGAATATGGGCCTCTTCTACCTTTTGTATATTTCAGTAAGATACTGGCTTTCTGAGTTTTTTCTTTAGTTTTTCACTCTCTCCCCACCCTGTACCCCCCAACATGTCAGTCCTGTATTGAAATTTAGGACATAAATACTTGGATTCTTGTTGAAATGATACTTTTAGTATCTAATAATTATATAGTATTTGTCCCTTCTCCATTGTTGCCAGAGAAATTATTTGATGCCTCCCGCTTCCCATTAATTTTTAAACCTTTTATTTGTCAGTGTTTTTGTCATAGTTGGCTGGTTCCCCTGTGTATCTTCATACAGATCGTTAGTTCAGCTGGTCATTCTGTTCATACAAAACTACTATCCCTCATCTAGAGAGAGACCAGTATGGTGGAGTCTGCAGATTGTCGAGGGAAATGGGCTGGGGCAAGGCAGTGCTTTAAGTTCCATGGATATCCTATATTAATGATAACGTTATACATTTACATGGTTCTTCACGCTTTAAAGTGCTTTCACATAAATCGTTTCATTTGACCCATATAACACTTCTGTAAGACAAGCAGCACTTATTAAGATTCCTTGTCTTATGGATGAACAAACTGAGGCTCCTTGGCCACATCAGTTATTAAGTATCTCTTCTTTGTATTTCATGATACTTTGTACTTAGGGCATTCTTTCTATATTAGGATTATTTGTTTACATCTAACCTATTCAGAAGTATCTTTTCTTTATACTTCACAATCCTTTGTACTTAAACAATGGCATTCTTTCCACATTATATTAGGGATATTTATGTATATTATGTCTCCCCATTAGATTGTAAATTTTTAAGATAGGGTTCATATCCTTGTATCCCTATTGCTTAGCACAGTACCTTATACAAAATTTTCTGTAAATGTTTTTGTTGAGGAAAAGAAAACTTTGAAAGGAAACAGACTGAGTTAAAATGTGCTCAGGAGGGACCTGAGTTCAAATTTGGCCTCAGACACTTGACACCTTCTAGCTGTGTGACCCTGGGCAGGTCATTTAACCCTAAATGCACCCCCACCCCTCACCCCCCAAAAAAAGCCTACCGTGTTCAAGACTCTGCTAAAAACTGTTGTTTTGGTTGAAGTAGATGAAAAAAAAATCCATCCTTAACATAGATATGTAGTTGGAAAAGGAAGGAGTATTTTAAAAGGCAAATAATGTCCAAGTGTTGTTATTAAAATAATTTTGACCAGGAACTACGGATCATATTTTGAGAACTGTAGGTATGGAAGCTAGTGTGTGTTTGTTTTGATTTGGACTTTTTATTTTGTTTCTGGGTTTCTGCTACTTGAACTGGCTCTGTTCATATTAGTTGTATTAGTGCTAGGAAATTCTCTGGTGGAATTTCTCTTTGCATAACCCAACTGGTTATGTGTTTATAAATCATAAAGTGATATTACTTCAATTAAAGATAAGAGACAACAAAAATTTAAGATTTAAATACAATTGTTGAACATTTTAAATTATTATCAATAACTATTTTCAATTTATTTGTTTTTTTGAAAAGTAGCATTTTTGAGGAGGGCCATCTTATTATATTGTAATTACCAAAATGAACACTGTTGAGAAATATAACTTACTTTATGATATTTTAAACTTCAACACAAAGACTGTTTAGCTTCAAGTTTAAACTCCTTACATTAACATGCAATATCTGTATCATAATTTGTTCCTGATGATGGTTTCTGTGATGCTTACCTTGCATATTTCAGATTCAGTATTTGCTGAACTTTGTTCACTGTCAGAGTGAATTTGCCCTGCTATTTTTGCTTTTGTTTATTTTTATTTAAACTTTGTGCTCTTTTTTTAAAAGTGGAGTATCTTGTCCAACCCTTTTCATTTTTTAAGAAACTGAGGTATGGAGAAGTTAACTGACTTGCTGCAGGTCACCTAAGTAGTATGTGAGAGGAAGGCTTTGACCCCAGGTCCTTTGTTGCCAGATCCAGTGCTCTTTCTACTATACTAAACTTACCCATTAAAAAAGATCTAATAATTTTGGCCATTGCTTCACCTTCCCTTCTCCAGCGTCAGGGTCTTGTCTCCTCCCAAAGGGGTATATATACCCCAGAGTTTGGGGGCTCATTTAAAAGGAATAATCTCTAGGTTTTATAAATCAAAATCCCCTGTGCAAAATTAAAGCGTCCTTTTTTGGCTTTGTTTGCATCTAGACTTGAGTAATAATATTGGATTAGTTATTATAGCCAATATTATTTGCTGTTGAAGGTGAAACAAAACAACTTACTGGCATTGGAGGTGAAACATTCAAAATTGAGTTGGGAACAATGCTGGAAGGAGAAAAACCATTCAAAAACCTTACAGAATCTGGAAAGAAAAAAGGTAATACATACATTTTTTTTCTCCAGAGCCTCTAGTTAAATTTTAGATTGACCTGAATGCTTTTTAATTTCCCAATTTAACAAATTACATATTGATCTATGAAATAAGTCAGTTGTGAATAACAGGAAGGAAAGGGAATATGCATTTAAGTATATGTATATGTAAGACACTGTGCTAAATGACAGTGGTTTGATGTATTATGAAAGTATAAGAATTTTAAAACTCTAATCTACTTCTTGTTTTGGGAATGTTTAGAATCATCTGAAAACGAAATGTCCCTGTTAGATGAAAGGTCGATTCTGCTTCATCCTTATGAAAAGGCAACTCAAGTTAGAATGGTAATGAAGAAACAAAAAGAGGTATTTTTCTGAGATTCTTTTGCCTTTTTTCATCTTTGGTTCTAATATTATTCATCCATAAATTTGCCTTGATTTTTGTAAAAGATTCGTTTTCTGTGATACTCCTTCTGATCTCTACCCTCACACCTCACTCTCCTTACCGCCTACTACCAGTGACCTACTACTACCTTCCTCTGAACTTCAGACACACTTGAGTTTGTGTGACTCATAACTTTCCTTTCTTAATGCTTTATATTTTGGCTGTTTGTGTATTTCTCACTAAACTTGAAATTCCTGAAGGACAGAGGCCATTTAACTTTTAATTTTGTGCATAATAGGTGCTGAATCAACACTTTGTTAAATAAGTGTTTTGCTATCATAATACAGTATGCTGTATTCCAATCTCAGTTAATTTCAAATTTTAGAAAATTACCTGAATTGCAGGAGAAGGGGGGAAAATCAAATCTTGTATAAGATTTCAATCTCAATCTTAGATAGCCATTTTGTTTTAGCATTAAATCTGAAAGAGGAAGGTGACTTTTGTTTTATACAGTATGTATAGGGGGTTTTTCCTTTCCTTTTTTTTTTTAATTTTATTTAAAGAAGGGAATCATATGAACCAACCTTCTAGGAACATGAATTTGGAGATAGTAAAAAGTTCCCATAATGCACAAACTTAGAAATTAATTCACTTGATTCTTTCAGTATTATATACTTTACATTCTTCTTTTTGTGTGATGTATGGCTTTAAACAGAAAATTGGTCAATACATTTTGGACCAAATCGAGAATTAACTTGGGTCTTTTTTAATCTTAGTAAACGAATATTTAGAACATGTTAAGGATTCTAGTCATTTCAGAATAGTGAATGTATCTTTAGAATATATTAATAAAGGTTCTAATCATTTCAGAGTGAGATATTAATCGTGAAAACACAGTAGCCTTCTATATTTGTGTGAATGTATAAATGTATTTGTTCATCATTCAGTTATGTTTGATTTTTTGTGACCCCCATAGACCATACTGTTAATGTGGTTTCCTTGACAAAGATACAAGAGTTTTTGCCATTACCCTCTCCAGTGGATTTAGACAAAACTGAAGTGACTATCAAGGGTCACACAACTAGTGTCTGAGGCCACATGTGAACTGGGGTCTTCCTTACCCCAGGCCCAGTACTCTATCCACTGAGCCATCTAGCTGCCATAAATAAATGTATACACATACACACATGTAAACATATACATACAGCACACGTATGTGTGTGTATAAAATAGAAGCATCCTTAAAAATGTGTCTGAAGCTAAATTTGACAGAGACTTCATCTCTCCAGCTTGTTTTAGCCCTGTAATGCTTGCTTTGTTGCTTAGCCTTTAGGTAACAAAGCCCTCCATGGGAAAATGATCAATTTGAGGTCCTACTTCCCCTTGAGGAACCCAAGAGGGTATCGGGACATCCTGGTACTAAAACTGCCTAATTCACAGTTGAGCTGTGCTAAAGAAAGTTGTAATAGATGTCCACTTTTGCCCAACAACGTCCACGGCAACGGTTGTTTAGCTGAGCCCCTAGCATCGGCTGCTGCTTACCTAGAGCACTTTAGCTGGTAGCTTGTGCTTGTAGTCATATAGGGTGGGTGGATCACTGTGATCCTTTATCTCTGTCAGTGATGGTGGTCCCAGTATACATATCTCTGCTTTTTCTTGCTGAGCTTTGTTTGGCAATGGCAGCAACCAAGAGAAAGCATCAATGCTTGGTTGCTCTTTATAAATTGGTTCCTCTTTGATTAAAAGCTAATCTTTTAATGATGTAATGAGCTTCACTTTTTGCCTTGAAAGTATTAATTTGTGGCTAATTACTTGAATCTTTCTGTTTCCTAGATGATGAAACTTGAACAACAAAAGCAGAAGCAGATTGAATTAATTAGACAGATTGAACAACAGAGAATAAGATTGGAGAGTGAATGCCTAAAGGCTCAAAAAGCTCAACTAGAAGATGAGAGGAAAAAAATGAAAGAAAGAACTCAGCAGTTTTATTTAAGATGTATGAAATCTTACCCCTTTATGGACCAGAGGAAGGAAGAAGCCGATGCGGTCTCTCAGCATTTGGTAAAAAAAATTTCTTTTAGATTCTCAAGTATCTTTTAAAAAACACTTTTAAAACAATGGGTACTTTGTAAGTTGTCAGAACACATTTACACTAATATGATGACTTAAATTTTTTAATTGGTGTGGTCAGATTATTCTTCTGACTTGTAGGCATGCAACCATAGTTAATATCATAAAATTGTGTAATTCTGGGATATAACACTAACGAAATACCTATTAGCCTTGCTTTTGTGAATATTGGTTAGGTTACATGGACTACTTTTAATGTCATTATTTTTAGGTTATGAGTAGATGTTATTTTTATTACTAATTTCTAATCAGGGAGTGATTTTTTTTTAAACATAAAGCTTCGTAGAAGCTACAATTGAACTTTTTATTTCAGGTGCTCTGTAACTTTATTTTAAATTCATCTCTTAAATATTCTTTTTTATTAGATTGATGATGCTCCAGCATTAGGCTTGAAAATTTCCAGAGAAGATCATAGTAGACAAATGATTCATAACTACCAGCAACATCTTTTGCAGCAAAACAGGTATTATTAGTGTATGCACAAGTAAATTTGTGTGTGTGTGTCTAGATATTTCGATTTGTTTATCATTCTCTAAGACTCAAGGACGTGGAAATTTCCCAAAGGATTATTCAAGAGTATGTTCTTTTTTCTAGCTCCAGTAGCTGGTAACAGATATATTATTTTCCAGAAGATGAAAGTTAGGATTAGTACTTTAGAATACTGGACATTTTTCTCATCAGAAGAAATTTGATTTCTTTGCAGGTTTCACAGACAATCCATTGATGCAGCCAGGAAACGTTTGCATGAGTATCAGAATATGTTAAAACAAAGATACCCATCCGAGTCAACCAAGTCCATTTCGTCTGATTTTGCAAAGCCTAAGGGTGAATTGCGTGATAGAAAAACACTGGCACTCCAGGCCAGCTCTCAGCGTCCAGGAGAATCAAGTCTGCATTCATTACCAAGTTATCCTGCAGTAACAGGAGACTCCCATTTGCTTTCCATAGAAAGCAGTGAAAGGATGTCTTCTGATGAGACTGCTGTTTCTTATTCAGGGTCACTGTTAATTGAACCTACGCTTAGTTCAGTACCTTCTGCTGAACCTGAATCTAAATTTAGAAGAATCCAAAATCTCTTTTCAACTAAGAGTCAAAGTCCACAGCCCTCACGTCATTTCATAAGTTCAGAGGATAGGTGCTTCATTTCTTCAGATCATATCCTATCTCAGAAGGATAGTTTGAAGACAATGCAAAAGCAGTTAGATGTACAAAGGAAAACTCTTCATTTTGGTGAGAAAACCCCAGAAGAATTGGTTGTACCTAGGCAGACTGAATTGGAAGAGAGGATACTTTCTAATCAGACTGGGTCCTCGTCTTCAGTGCCATCATTCCCTCAGCACTCATTTACTTTATCCCCTTCTGCTGAACCTGAATCTGGAAGAATCCGAGAACCCTTTTCAATCAAGAGTGACAGCATAGTTCCCTCAGGCCATTCCATAACGCAAATAATTCCAGATAGACTTTTATCTTCTTCAGAGGACACCCTGCATCAGCAATATAATTTGAACACAACCCGAGAACAGTTGAATATGCAAAGGGAAGCCCTTCACTTGTGCCTGAAAGCCCAGGCAAAAGTGGTTTCACATAAATCAGCTTCAGTAGAGGAAAAAGTACCTTCTAGTCAGACTGGGTCCTTACCTTTCCTACCATTGGTCCCTCAGCATTCACTTAGTTCATCACTTTCTGCAGAATCTGAATCTAGAGGAGTTCAGAAACTCTTTTTAACTAAGAATGAAAGCACAGTTCCTTCAAGCACACCCATAAAACAGGTATTTCAGGATAGACCTCCGATGTCAGAGGATAGCCTACCTCAGCAGGACAGTTTGGATATTTTGAAAGTAATGCAAGAGCAGTTGGCTGTTCAGAAGGAAGCCCTCCTCGCTGGCCAGAAAACGCAGGAGCAAAACCTTGCAAATAGACTAGCTACGGTAGAAGAAAAGAAGTCTGCTCAGCCAGAGTCTCCTTTACTGCCACTTTTCCCTGAGCTTGCACTTAGTTCATCACCTTCTAATGAATCTGAATCTGTAGGAGTTCAGAAATTCCTTTTAACAAGGAATGAGACTACATATCCTTCAAGCTATTCCATAGATCAGGATAGACGCTTGAATTCTTCCAAACCAATGCTAGTTCAGCAAGATAACTGGAAAATGAATGAAGAACAGCTAGATTTGCAGAGGGAGTTATTTCACTTTAGTGAGAAAGCTCAGAAAGAGTCGATTGTTCATCAGCCCACTGCAGTGGAGGAAAGAACGCCCTCCAGTCGCACCGGGCCCTCTTTAGTACCACTGTTTCCTCAGCATTCATTTAGTTCATTACACTCTGCAAAATCTGAATCTGGAGGGATCCACGACCCCTTTGCAAGGAAATGTGAGCCTGAATGTCCCTCAGGCGTTTCTTCAACCCAGATATTTCAGGAAAAGGTTTTGGCTCCTTCAGAGCACATTCTACCTCAGCAGCATAATCAGGTGGCAATCCAAGAACCATTAAATGTACAGAGGGAAGCCTTTTGCTTTAGTGAGAGAACTCAGGAAGAGCTGTTGGTACAATCTAAGATAGCTTTAGAGGAAAGACTGTCTCCTAACCAGCCTAACTTTTCTTTCCTGCCACTAATACCACAGCATTCATTTACTTCACTACATTCTACTGAATCTGGAGGCATCCAGATAGCTAGTTCACATCCTGCAGCCCCTAATATCCAGATATTTCAGGAAAAGCTTTTGGTTTCTTCAGAGCACATTCTCCCTCAGCAGGATGATCTGAACCTTCAGCAAGAACAGTTGGCTGTAGAGAGGAAAGCCCTTCAGTTTAGTGAGAGAGCCCAGCAACAGACAACATTGAATGAAAGATTATTTTCTGGTCAGACTGACTCCTCTTTTGTGCCATCATTAGCTGAGCATGCATCTAGTTCATCACTTTCTCATTCTGAAGAAATCCAAAACCCTCTTATGGACAAGAGTGAGAGCACACATCCTTCAAGTTATCCCACAGTCCTGGTATTTCAGGATAGGGTTTCAACTTCAGGTGACAGCCCAATATCAGCAAGAAAATTTGAAAGCCACACAAGAGGAGTGGAATATACAGAGGGAAGCCCTTCCCTTTGGCCAGAGATCCCCATTACGGTATCTTGACTACAGACTTGCTGCAGTGGAGGAAAGGACATTTAGTCAGACTGATTCCTCTCTTTTTCTACCACTGTTCCCTCTTCATTCAGTTAGTTCATTGCCTTCAGCTGAAGCTGAGTCTAATGCTGATTCTGGAGGATTCCAAGAACCCTTTTTAACCAGTGGAGAAAACACATTTCCCTCAAGCCAGTCTTCAGTCCACACGTTTCAGGATAAGCTTTTGGCTTCAAAACATTTTTCAGCTGCTCAAGACAATTTGAAAGAGCTACAGAAACAATTGAACATACAAAAGGAATTTTTTGAGGAGAGACAGAAAGCCCAAGAAGAATGGCTTCTCCAAAGACAGACTGGGCTGAAACAGCAGGTACAGAAGCATGAGGAGACATTAAAGGATTCACTTTATGATATCCAGGTATTAATATGTGTTTTATTTTTAAGCAAAATTATTTAAAAATTAGACAACTAATTTGTTTTTATTAGGTGTCAGTTTGACATCTTTTTCTGAACCTAGTCTAAAAGTTTGAGTTCTGGCTCTGGAACAAGTTCTGTCTGGGTTAGTAATCTTGGCTATATAAAATAATTTTGGACATGCTTCAAGCTTCTTATTTGTATTTAAGGAACAGGAACACTTGTTAATGAAATACATCCTGGGAAAGACATAGCTGGATAGCAATTTGTGTGAAAAGACCTCAGGATTTTAATAGAGAGCAAATTAAGTACCAGTCAAAGTGGGGCATCATTAAAGGTTTTTCAACAGGGCAAAGACATAAGAAAAGTGACCCAGAAAATAACTAATGCAATATTAGACTGTATTAGTAGACATATATAGTTTTCAGATTGAGGAAAATAATCTCTCTGTATTGTACCCTAGTCAGGTCACATCTAGAAAATTCTGTCTGGTTTTGGGTGCCATGTGTTAAAAGGGATAAAACTGGAATGTGTTCAGGGAAGGGAAGCCACAGTGGTCAAGGGCCAGTTGTTGGTTGTTGTTGTTCCGTTATTTTCAGTCTTGTCTGTGTCTTCATGACCCCATTTGTGGTTTTCTTGGCAAAGATACTGTAGTGGTTTGCCCTTTCCTTCTCCAGCTCATACAGATGAAGAAACTAAGGCAAACAGTTGGATAAGTGACTTGCCCAGGGTCACATAGCTAGTAAGTGTCTGAGGCCAGATTTGAACTCAGGAAGATGAATCTTCCTGAGTTCAGGCTCAGCACTCTATCCATGGCACCAACTACCTGCCCCAAAGGGCCAATATAAGTATCTGTTGAAAGAACTGGATTTGTTCAATGTAGAGAGAATACTTGGGAGAACATAAAAGCTGTTTTCAAGGACATCATTCAGAAAAAGGATCAGGCATGTTCTACCTGGTTCTACCCCAAAGGACAGAATTAGGAGCAGTGAGTATGAGTTTCTAAGAGACAAATACAGGCTTGGATGTAAGGGAGAAAATCATAATGATTAGAGCTATCCATAAGTGGGGTGGGCTACCTTGGAAAGCAGTGGGCAAATGACCACTTGTCAGGCTTGTTGGGAAAAAAATTCTTAAGTCAGTTATGGGTTGGACAACATGGTCGCTGAGGTTTTTTCCAACCTTGAAGTTTTTTGATTACCAAGAGATTCAGAGGAGATTGACCAGGATGGTAGGGTGACTTAAAACAATGCTGTGTCTATTTGGTTAAGTTGAAATGGGAATGGATGTTTAACTTGGAGAAAATAATTAGGTTGTAACATGATCCCAGGGTTCAAATATTTGAAAAGTTGATAGCATTGGGCTAAGTTTAATAAAATGAAATTCAGAGATTTAGTAGCAAGTAAAGTCTTGGCACTTGGGTGCAAAAAAAAAATCTTCACAATTTTAAGACAGGAGAATATGTGAATAGACTGCAGTAGTTGTGAAAGTATCTGAGTGTTTTAGTGGATTGTAATCAGCAGTATGATACAGCAGTCAAAAAAAGGTAATGAAGTCTTAGGCTGCCTCAAGCAGAGCATAGTTTCCAAGAATAAGGTGGTGATAGTTTCCTTGTACCCTGTCCTCATAGGCAGCAAGGTGGTGCCGTAGATAGAGCACCAGCCCTGGTGTCAGGAGGGCCTGAGTTCAAATATGGCTTCAGACGCTTATTAGCTGTGTGACCGTGGGCAAGTCATTTAACCCTGTTTGCCTTAGTTTCCTCATCTGTAAAATGAGCTGGAGAAGGAAATGGCAAACCACTCCAGTATCTACTAAGAAAACCCCAAATGGGGTCGCAGAAAGTCAGACACGACTGAAACAACTCAACAATAACAACTGTTCTGTCCTCATCAGACTTCATTTAAAGTATTGGGTTCTATTTAGGCAACATGGTTTAAGAAAGATAGTGACAAACTGAAGACTATCCAGAGGAGGGCAATGAAGATGGTGAAGGACCTTGAGTCCTTGACATGTGAGAATTGGCTAAAGGCACTGGGATGCTTAGCCTGTAGAAGAGAAGACTCATGGCAGCCATTATAGCAAGGTATATTATGTGAAGGAAAGGTTCTCTTTGTTCTCTTTGTGCCCAGAGGGCTAAACTAGGAACAGTGAGTAAGGCCAACTTAGATTTGATATCAGGAAAAATTTCCTGACAATTTGAGCTGTCCAGAAGTGAAGTGGGCTGCCACCAGGGCTAGTGAATCTTATCTTTGGAGGTCCACGTATCAATTATGTTATTGTATATTCCTTTCATGAATAGCATTGACTGGTTAATTGTTGAACTCTCTCAACTCTCATATTCTATTATTCTGTAGGATGTGGAAGAGAAATTAGATGGTTTCTGCTCGACCTTATAGAGCAGAGACCTAGGACTTAATTAGTGGAAGCAATAGGGAGACAGATTTTCAACTCGCTGTGGGCAAAGCATCCTAAAAGAGTTTGGTTTTTTTTTTTAACGTGGTTGTCTACCTCAGTAGCCAAAATGCAAATTAGTCAAAGAGAATTCAGAGAATATCAAAATTGGGAGGAAAACCATAGCTCTAACTTACCGATAGCAGAACTTGTCCTCTTTATTTTTAGCACATTATTGAAATGTGGGATATGTAGTTCAAAATCAGTCAATTTTATATTTCTCTGACAGTTTTATAAGATGCCTCTTATAAAATTGGTAGAATAGCAAGCTAAAGCCCCACTGAAGTTGCTGTTGAACTCATAATAAATTGCAGTTTATTTAAATGCTTTGCTCTAGAAACATGGCAATAAGTAATATTATTGTTATTTTTATTATTCAGTAATTAAAACAGTTTCAACAAGGTTGAATTGAAAAAAAGATATATTTTGACAATAAACTTTCAAATTATTGTTTTGTTTTTTTTAAATGAACCTTATAAAATGTTTTAGCAGTTGAAGTGCACTGTTTTTGAGTTTTTGTCATTGGAAATAGAACTATATATCTCCAGAAAGCACATAATTGAAATTTCAGTTGGAAAAAACAAATTACAAAAGAATACTTTAAAATTTTGAAAAATGAATGCTATTATATTTCAGTGTACAGTTCATTGAACTGGTTCATTAATTAGTACATATGTTTTGGACAGATAACATAGGTGGATGATGAGTTTGGTCCATAATTGAGTAGATGATGGAAAGTGTGCTGGCATTCATTGGGGAAATTGCACAGTACTTTTCAACAGCACAAGTTGTTCCCTGAAGCAAAAATCATCTTTTTTACTTCAGTATTTATTCAGTGATGTTTTATAAGTACTAGTGATGGACCATCACGGTCTCTTCCCCCCAGATAATGTGGGTGACCCAAAGGCTGTGTATGAATGTTGTATATAAAATGTGTGTGTGTTGGCTGTAGCATGTTACCAATGATGATATGTGTTAGAAGTGACCTTTTTAAAAGATGTCATCCAGGAAGCATGTGATCAGAAAAGAGGTAAATAAGGTGTTTAATTTAAAGCTGTTTGTAAACCTTGAGAGCAAGGAAGTAACGTAGGTAGCCAGAATGCTACATTGGTATCTATAATGTTAAAAGAATGTGAAATAAGGGAATTGCAGTAGATGACCTCTGAAATCCCTTTTAGCATTAAATTTATGATCCTATGACATAGAGGAAGGCCTTCAGGATACAGAGTGGATCTCCTTTGGAGGATTTATGGAAAGGCATGAATGAGAAATCACACAGGCTGAAAAAGCATTGATGAGTTATGATCTTGAATAATTAAAGGGAATATCCAGATTAATAAGATCATAGATCCATCAAAGTGTATAAAGTAATAACTTTAGTAATATTAGTCTTTTTTCAAAGAGTTTCCAAATGTTGTATCTAGTGAGCTTCTTGAGTTTCTGAGTATAGAGCAGTTTCAGTGACTATATACTGAATAATTGGACTTAAGACATGTATTAAGCAACTGTTACATGTATAGAACACCTTACTAGACAGTGCACTGGAAGATGTAAGATGAATATGAAGTGGTTCCTTCCCTCAGGTAGTTTCTAATATAGTAGGATAGACAAGACAAATAAGTAACTATAATACAAAGTGGAACCTAAGCATGTAATAATTCCAAATGCTACTTTCTTTTTTTAGCTTACAGTCTTCCTTTCAGTCTCTTTCCTGTGATCAGCTTTGTAGATGTCAGTATTTTCATTGATTGTTATCTCTTCTAAAAATCTGACTTTACAGTTTTCTGATTTACTTAATTTCTATGAAAGAGTAAGCTTTTCATCTACATTCTACTTCATCCAACTCCTAGAGTTGATCCACCTTCATGATCTTCAACAACTTCTTCTCTCTCCTTTTTCCTTTATATATTTCATTCATTCTCATTAAAACTTCTGGGCCCTTCGTCACACGGTTTTCAACTAGTAATCATCCCTTCTCCGGGCCTCAATTCTTTTCCTAACCGGAATTGACCCAACAGTCAGGTTCATTCTCCACCTGTTGAATCCCTCCCTTCCCTTTCACCTTCAGTCTTTCCTAGTTCTCCCTGCCCTGACAATCCCCAATTCTGTTTAAGTCTTACCAGCTGCCTTCTTTCTTCTTCCCAAGTTGACAAATGCTGGTGAAGGAAATCATAAAACTTTTCTGATTGGATCTACTGTAAATTTATTCTGACTCGTCTCAACCCTGTCCTCACTTCTATTCTACTGTTTCAGATTTTCCCTGTCTTCAAGCTCCCAACTTTCTTCATTTCCTCTCTCACTGTCAGTGCATGACTTTGTCCCTAACCTGTTCAGTTCAGCAAGCATTTGTTAGCTAGCTGCTGGGGATACAAAGACAAAGATGAAAATAAGTCCCAGCCCTGAAAAAGTTTACAGGCTACTAGACGGAAATCAGGTAGGATTACTACCTACTTTCTGGTAATGAGATAAGTTGTACAACATGAAGTCCCTAAACTCCCCTTTTCTACTCTTTTAAACTTTTCCACGTCAGTCAGTAAACACTTACTAAGAACC